CAGAGCTTCAAGCACCAGCATGAAGTCATGAGACTTGGTCAAGTGGTGCAGAATAGGTTGCAAAAAATGAATATGAAAAAATAAAAACAAAAAACAAAGTTTCAAATTTTGTGAAAAATAAAAAATAAAATTGATTTTTTTCAAAAGCTTTGATATTCATTTTGGGGAAGTGTGAGTGCAGAGAGAAAGAAAGAATGTAAAGTGGGAAGAATGATTATAAATGAAAATTTTGGAAAAAGTGGTTACCAGATAGTTTTAACCAGTTGTTGAGTGGGGCATTCACCAGCTCACATTGCAGTAAAGCACTAGAATTTACTGTTTTGACTCCAATCTGGACAACCAACCTGGATCAACCTTTTTTGGTTCCAATTTTTTTCATTTATAATCATTCTTGCCATGTTCCACTCTTTGTTTCTCTCAGCACTCCCACTCCCCCAAAATGAATAACAAAGCTTTTGGAAAAAACCATTTTTATTTTTTATTTTTCACAAAATTTAAAACTTTGTTTTTTGTTTTTATTTTTTCATATTCATTTTCTGGGAACTATTCTGCACCACTTCACCAAGTCTTGTGACTCAAAGTTTGTGCTTTGAAGCTGTAGAATCCAAAACAAGCAGCCAAAAATAACGGTCCACCCACTGTACATACACACATGCAAAATAAATTTTCAAAATCAATAGTAACTCCTCCATAAGGCTAATTCTGTGTGGCCACATTTGTTCTTTGAAATTGAAGTCCACTTTCCACAGATCAAGCCTCATCAAATCAACTGTATGAGCTTGCCTTCTGCACAACTTTGAGCAGTGGTACTGTTCAAATGCAATGCAATTCTTCAACAATATTTATTTTGCACATGCAATCTGCGGTCATTGGTAAACAATGGTGTATTGCAGACGTAACATGTTAACCTCAAGCCAAATAAATTAACATGTGTCTTGTGGAAATAATCCTCCTTTTCTTTCCTGCTGTTTGTGTATTTTTAGCATGCTGATGTTCTTTCCATTGTGTCCATTGGTTCCGGATATATATCCGACGTTTGGGCAGGGGCTGCGAGCCTGAGCCTTGAGGGGGAGCCGGAGAGCCGGGGCTTTAAATATCAATATAGGTATGTATGTATTTCCATGTAGCTCGAGGGGATGATCGTCGCTTACGTGATGATGCATACAGCTTGAAACTGAGTTTGCATGTCGGGGGGCTCGACGGGTTTCCCCGACTGCCTACAAAAACCACTGAAACTCTCTTCCTCTTCCACTCTCCCCTGCTCGGCCTCGGCTGCTGTTGACCATCAATAACATCATCCCGATTCCTCATCCATCCTGTCCAGAGTCCAGACCATCCAATTATTTATTTAGTACTGCCATAACTCAACTGTTGAGGTACACCCACTGAATCCACTCAACAACCGATACGATCTATTGCTGTTTTATCCTGACTTTGATAGTTCCTCTGCTTCGATCAATCGGACTCGGATCTCTTGCTGCTCACAACTTCATCTATCCATCCACCTGAGTTCCATTACTTGCTACGCCGTCGAGGTCAAGCAAAGTACAATGGAAGCCGAGCAACCAGACCAATCCTTTTCAGACCAAGAACCCATCGAGATCGATACCCCACCACGAGTGATCCCGGAGTCTGAAGCCCACAAGAGACGAAGAATTCACTCGCCCGATCCGATAGCAAATGCTGCTATCATCGACCATAACCTGGCCCGAGTACTGTGGAACGCACGCGAAATGCTCGAAGTTCAGATCCAGAAGCGTCGTCGTCGTTCCGATCAAAGTCTCTCCGAATCCTTACCGGTCGCCTCATCGTCGGCCAGTCATAAGCCGTCCAAAAAAGCTCGAGAGACCAGTCCAAAACCCGAGTGTGGCACCAAACGCTTCCAGGATGCCGATGAATCGCCCGTCGCATCTTATTCTCATCCGCCTGAGAAAAAGCGCGCCAAGCAAGAGATACTATCACCTTCCACTCGTCCCAAAATCACCGGCTCCTCATCACGTCCAAATCATCCCAAGCTCAACACCGGAACCGGTCCTTCTACCGGGTCATCATCTTCGACACAGCCTCTTCCTAACTTCATTCTTCCTACAGGAATTCGAACGCCATATGCGATCCAAGTCGAACGGGCCGACAAACTTCGCCAAGAGGGTAACGTCCAATATGAAAAGAAGAACTACCCTGTCAGTCCACATATGTCTTCTTCCGCCTTAAATTTTGGGCGTGATCAAATATTCCAACGTGTTCTACATATACTAACACCATCCGTTTTGGTCGCCAAATTAGCACGCCCTGTACCTATACACACAGGCAATCAACTCCTATCCCATTGCACTGTTCCCCAACCAGTCTCGGCCCGCAGGTTATTCAACCTCGTTAGCTAACAGAGCATCCGCGTACATGGCCACTGGACAATACAGCTTTGCCTTGAACGACCTTCAAGAATCGATGGAAGAGACCGATCTAACCCCCTTATTGACTGAAGAATCCAGATCAAACTTCATCAAACGAGTCTTTCGTCTCGTGCGTTGCCATCTGGCTCTACTAGACGGTCCGGGCGCCTCAACGTCGTTGGACAAGATCCGAAAGCCACAGTCGCTTAACCCGATTCCTCAGAGTGACCCAAAACATGAGGAACTTCAAGCGTTGTCATTTCGAACTAAGTTCCTGGTAGAACAACAGCAAAGACTTAACGATCTTCGATTGAATGATATGTGGCAGCCCGCTTTACAAGTCATGGGGTGCGTGGAAAAGGAGATCATGACCTGGGGATTCAAATTCGACCTTACTTCTCTTCCTGGATCCTGGACGATTTGGAAGGCTGAAATGCTTGCCCGTGTTGGCAAACCTTTGGAGGCCCAAAAGACCATTCTGTTGTATGTACCGTTTCTCAATCAATCAATCTCGCTTCTGCCCCGTAATTCCTTTACACACAAAAGCGAAATTCATGAGTCACTGAGCCAATTTGCCATGTTCGCCATTTTTATCTTTTCCTCTTCAGTTTCAACCGGGCCCCCACAATGAGATGGGAATGCACATTCATTTATGCTCTTGTTGCTTTGGGTAAAGCAGACCTGAAATTAGCCCAAACCAGACTTTCAGACATCTTACTCTGTCAGCCAAATTATGAACCAGCATCGTATGTTTTTTTCTTGTTTGCTTTCCATGCTAGCCCCCACCCCCGATGATCTGTCTTCCCGTCTGAGCCGCATCTACGAAACCACTAACACACTGATGTTTCGTTGGTTGTCAGTGACATGTTAGAGTTTTTGAATCAATTGATGATCTCAATGGATAGAATCGAACGCACCGCTTCTAGTGGATCCCACCACTTAGCTGTGGCTCAGTGCGAGGAATTTCTTGTCGCTCTCAAAGATCCTCTTCTGACTACCCTTCGGATCAAAGTCGAAACTATCAAATGTGAACAGCTAGCAGAGGTTTGTTGTATTTTTAACATAATGAAACTTAGAGTTCGATTTCCTATGTGCCTGCTGCCTGACTGACTTGATCGTTTTGCCTTCTACTTATTCATGGCACGAAAAGCAATGCATGAGGGATCCGAAAGCTGCATCTCAACTCTGCAATCAAGTCATCTCATTGAACATGACTCTGTTCAGGCAAATGAACGTGAACCCGAACCTCCCGATTCGGAGTGACGTTTACGAGCCCTACCAAGTTTATCTGATCAGAGCCTTGCTCGCCCAGGCTCGTGCAATGCATCAATGCGAGCGGCACGACTGGAAGTCGTCGTACTTCAATGTCATCAACTGCATCCGATTTTGGCCTGGAATGGCCCTCCCTTTCCGGGAGAAAATTTTCGAGGAAATCCGGTCCAGGACTGGTGGCAATTCCTACTCCAAAAGCTATTACAGAGGCCATCACTCCCAAAACCATTCATCTCGGCCTACTAGCAACACTAGCCCGCCCGTCAAAGCTAACCCGGATCCAAAAGGGTATTACAAGGTAAGCAGTTTGGTCACTTTCTTGGCTCACCCGCGTTTTCCTTGACTTTTTTGTCTTAATATGGCTCTGCTTGACTACTTCGTAGGCTCTGGGACTTGCAAAAGACGCTTCAGTGACAGACATCAAGAAGGCTTTCCGTACACTAAGTTTAACTCATCATCCTGATAAGGGGGGCGAAACTGAGTTATTCCAGATCGTCAGTTCTCTTCCTTTCCTTTCCTCTCTTCTCTCTGTCACAATTCGCCCGTCTCTTTCTTCCCTCAAGGATCTCGTTGTTGCTTCAGAAGTGACGAAAATCAGGACTTCACGCTGATCTTATTTTTCTTCCTTCTTTGTACTGACAGATTAATGAGGCTCATTCGGTCCTTGCCGACTCCCACAAGAGACATTACTACGATCTGACGGGGCATGTACCCAAACAATGACCTTTCATCTGTTCTACCTATTCGTCATTCAAGCTTCAAAAAAATACAAAAAATGGACTTTCAATCTCTCGATGCAACTACTCCTTGAATACACACCATGTGTCATCAGCTTTGTATATAATTATCAGTTTAGTTTGTGTCCTGTTGTTGTCTGTTTTTCTTGGGATTCGTTTTTTTTTTTCTTCTTTTTTTATGTGTGGGCCTCTTCAGGTCACATGCGATGTACCTCACATATGGACATATTTATCAACGGCAGAGCCTTAGTGACTGTCAAGATCCATCCATCCTCCATCCTCTCTTCGTTCGACTTGTTTTCTCGGGTTTCTTATTTGCTTGTTGTGTATGGGTGTGTGACCACATATTTCTATTTATCAAACCCGGGTCGCTTAATTGCTAGTCCCGCCTCTCTTGGGCTTATTTTTCACTCTTTAGCTTTCTTCACTCAGCTCTTCAGTATTCCAGTATATTGTCATTACCCCTACCCCACCTCCTGATCTGCTTTACCAATACCTAGACGGTTTTCTTTCTTTTTTTTTCATTTTCATTTCTTTTTTCTTTTTATATATCATGAAAAAAAAAGTTGTCTTTGTACATACTACTTTCAAGAGATGACAACATAAGAAGAAAAAAAAAATGAAAAAAATGGAAAAGATATAAAAAAAAGGAAAAAACTTCAGAAAAAAACTTGAGAAAAGGAGGAGAGCTGAATGATGTTTTCCTTAATTGTTGTTACGTGCTCCTTCTTCTCACCTCTGGTGCTATGTACTTCCAAGACTGTTTTTTCTGTCTTCTTCTCTTCCAGAAAAGAAAAAAACTTGAAAAAAGAAAATGGTGTTATTGAATTGTAGGTATTGTTATGTATGTGTAGATAGCATTTTGACATGAAAAAATAAGAAAAACAAATGGTGATCAGACACAAAGACAGTGAAATGTAAAGGAGCAGAGAACCCAAGTACCACCAAATGGAGACAACAGATGAGGAGCCAATGAAGAAACTCTAGGTACCACCTGGCCTCAAATGAACTTGAAAAGATCAATTACAGTGGTCCAGACCTCCCCCACTGTGTTGGCTCGACAAGACACTAGATTAACCTTGATCAAATACACCTTGTGTCTTGTGCATTGCTATCTGGCTCTATTGGATCATCTCCACATTGATAATCATCAATTCAAATTTCCATTCTAATCTCAATCATCCACATCTTTGTGAATACAAACATCCCAAGTTTCTAATCAGACTTGAAAATAGAATCAGACTTGCATCCTTAAAGGAAGACTGGCAGGAGATCTTGGGTGTCATCCAGTTTCTGGAACAAGAAATTCTTGGCTAGGGCTTCCAATTCCAACTCCCTTGTCTACCCAGATTATGGACTTTGTCTACCCACTGTGCTTTGTATTGTTTTGTGTATTGATAGGTGTTATGTCTCTCTTCTGCTTGAGTGCTTTGTGGAGCTGTTTCCTCCATACACGTGCTTGACTATGTCTTTTTGAATAACAAAGAGGAGTGAAGTAGTTTGTGATCTGGCTTGTGGTAGGTATTACATCTATTGAGGCAAGAGAGTTAAGATAGAGAGATAGAAAACAATTGATGAAAGTTCATGGAAATTCACATTTGCTCCTATCTGCAATCTGTCGCCCCATTCAAGGCCTTCCTTAAATAGTTGCCACACATGCACACACATGGTCTTGTGAGGGCGTGTAAATTGGAGACAGGGACCAAGGCTAGAGAAAAGAATATCAGGGTGGAATTGGATGAAATATATATCCACTTATGAGCAGAGGTGTCTAAGGATCAGAATCCAATTCCATTGCAAACCATCTATTTACATCTAGAAGAAAACAAGAATGTTTTGTTTTATTTTTCGATATGTTTGCTTTAGGTTGTTGCTGCCATCTTTGTTTTTTGAAGATGATTCCATTTGACAAGGTCATCGAACTTGACCAACTTGCCCCCAAAGATATCTAAGGAACTGTTTAATATTACAAATCGAAATTGAAGGGTGAGATCATAGTAAAAAGAGGAGATGGGAGAGGGATAGGGAGGACTGACCTGCCGAAAGTCAGATCAACTTTTCCGTTGGAGAGCGAGTCTACTAGGTCAAGGTCGGAGGCGGCCTTGGCGCCGCCGGCATAAGTAACCGGGATCCTTGACCACTCAGCAAGACCTATTCCCTTGCATGAAATGAGCCACAAATCGTGTCAGCTGGTTGTGATTGAGTCCATTGTGAAACATATCAGGAGAAAAAATATATATAATTAAAAGGGGGGTCAACGAACGCTGGATTAGTTCAGTGTCAATGCCTTGACATAAGCCTTCGTAATCTGCCGCATGGACCAAGAACTCTGAACACGACTCGCTCAGCTCGTCCAGGGTCTCTGAAAACTCGCCCATCCAAACCCGTCATTATTGTTCTTTGTACCAATCAGAAGATCGAAAGATAGTGGCAATACCTTGATTGACTTCGGTGTCAGTCAGAGTCGTCCATTGGTTCATGGCTACCATCCAAGACGAGTGTACACGTTTACAACTGATCCAAAGGAACACAGAAGATCGTCGAATCAGCCAACCCGGTCCCATACGAAGACAGTTTGTAGATTTTTTGAGTACCTCAGATCAATTACTAGTTGGTTCTTGCCAATACGTTCGGTAAGCTTTCGGAGCCTATTCGTGTCCAGTTTCTGGTCTGGGAAAAGGTAAGAAGTGACGATGACCTGTGCGTAAGGGAGATGGAAGAAAGGTCAGGAAGCCAAATGGAGGTCTCATGATGTAGGTCGGGAATGAATGCTGCACCTTTGAGGCCCCAGCATCGAGCCAATCCTGTGCGTTCTCTAGGTTGATCCCTCCTCCGACCTGGATCTGGCCGCGCCATGAGTCTAGTCCTCGCCGGGCGACTTCGTCGTTTGCCGGGCCTAGCTTAATGAGATGGGTGCCTGTCAGATCATGCTGTCTGTATAGGTCGGTATAATATTTGATCGGCTGACTGGAAAAGGGATTGAAGAAGCTCATTAGTATCAAAGGGAATGCTATTGTGATTATTACAGGATGAACGAACGAACGATGATTCGAAGTTAGTCTTGAGTTTGTCCGGTTCCCGTAAGTCTAACGAACCGCCGACGATTTGTTTGACCTGATGAGGAGGAGCACATCAGCCAATGAGAAAGTGTTTGGGGGTAGTATGTAAACTTACTTGGCCGGCGTGGAGATCGAGGCAGGCTCGGAAGAGGGTCATGCTGTGAGGGGGCTTGGCTTGGCTGAGTCAGGTAACGGGAGGAGTGGAGTGCGTGAAAAAAAAAAAAAAAAAAAAAAAAAACTCCGAAACACAGGTGAAGATGGCTAGAGTAAGCCACAAGCGAAAATCGGAGGGTCACCTCATCAGATCACAACCAGCAAAACAGAAAACAGCAGAACAACCACAGCAGGATAGCAGCAACAACCAGAAGAAGAAGAAGCACGAGGACGACAACGACGGCAATAGTAACAACCAAGTCGAACTCCAGCAGACCATCGACCAACTCTTATCCCAGGTTAGCATCCCTCAGATACGATCCAACAAGAACCAGGATGTCGGTCAAAAGAGCAACAAGAGGGGCACTGTCAGGAAACTGGGACAACTGGCTCCCAACCAGGCCATCCAACCGTCCCCGGTAACCGTCTCAGGACACCGACTGGCCGGCCCACGGAACCCACTGCCGACGGGCGGCGACCAAAGCTTGGTCCTGACGGTCTCGCGAAAGACGCCGTTCAGCGTGTACCTCAAACGCGCACTCGCTCACCTCCGAAAGCCCGCCGCTGGCCCACTCGTCCTTCGCGCTATGGGATGCGCCGTCTCGATGGCCTTCTCCCTCGCCATGGCCGTCGAGTCCCATCTCCAGATCGCCAGCCCCGCCGTCCTGCTCAGAGCGCTCTCCACTGGTACTGTCGTCGTCGGGGATGAGATCGTGCCCAAGTCCTCAAATGTATGTCTGTCTCCTCTTCCCCTGAATTGGTTTCATACACTGAGCACCTTTTGCCCTCATCAGATCGCCGATCCCGAACTCATCTACCAAACTCGAAACCAAGCCTCGGTCGAAATCAAATTGACCATCAAACGTTAAGCTACGATCCTTGAAGCATCAATCGCAAATAAACTGCGGATACTTGACTTCGATATAAATATAGACAGGGGGGGAAGTTTAAAAAATGGTGAACCTTACCGCCGCTGTCGATGCCCTATACGTCGATACTTAAGCTCACTAGCACAAGCGCAGCCGTATCATTATCACCCTTCTGGTTCTCTTAAGCTTCCGTCTGCGTAAACTTTAAACTCGAATATACAATTCTGAGCGAGGAAAAAAAATTCGATGCGGCATTCATAAAAAGGGCGGCTACATAATCAGATGGAATATCTCGTTCAGTCGCCCAGATTCAGGATTTTAGCTTTAGGAAAGCTGACTCGAGAAATCAAAATCAATGAGAAGTTACGGGAAGCTCTCGACTCTGACTGATTACCTTAATGTCACTTTTTCTCTTTGTCTGCACTCAAGTTCCTGTTTCTGGTTGATTTTTATTCGTCACCTCACTAAGATACCTGTACCTATTTAATTTTTTTTTTTTTTTTCTATGTATCCAACATAACCAAGTCACTCCTGCCGATCCTAGTTGGGCATCGCTCCTGTCGCGTGATGCTGATCCCGGTTTGAAAAGTCCCTCTGTGGCACGGCTTCCCGCCTCCACATAACTCGAAGAGAGACTTGGTCAAGTTTTGATATGGGGCACAATTCGCACCTGTTTCTGTCGATAACCTTACCAATAGTCGGCACGTTTCTAGACTTGATGCGTAAACCCAGACGAGAGGGAGTTTCACCCCACATCATAAGCTTTCACCCCACATCATAAGCCTTCACCTCACATCATAAGCTGTACATCATGATCTTGGGGCCATCTATGTGGCCAAGTGGGTCAGCCAGGAAAGTGAGATCGACTGAGCATTATCATGAGCTGTAAATTCGAGGAAGGCCATTGCGAAACACACAGGAGGATGTGTAGATTATATGAAGGTTAATGCTCGAATCTTAAGGGTACTCGTAGGCAATATTTGCCTCATATGTACTGATAGGAAAACTTGTATATAAGAAAGCTTCGTCCAGACTCAAGAGAGCCCATGGTATGAGCCCAGCGTTTCAAATCCTTTTGCCGAGGAAGGTAACCTGACCGGCTGAAATTGCCGATGGTTAAAGAATCCAGCTCTCATCATGTGTTTGCTCGCAGTAGTTGTCACTCACTTCCCTCAAGAACCGGATCGATATAATAGTCTTAAACATCTGTAGAGTGGCACGCACACAGGTTTGAGCTTTGACACACATCCCATCCATTCCAAACCACAGTGATGCCACTCGGCATCCGTCACTTACTGATCGGCTTCTTGTCCATCTTCAACTGCAATGGGGCCGAGGAATGGCTTCATAATTACGACGCGTTGGCCAAGTGGGAGCCCCCAACAGCGGCAGATATGAACGAGTTAATGTCATCTTTTCCTCCAACAATCACGGGTTTCCAAAATGATCCCAATCACATAGAAAGCTTTGGTGGCCCACAGACTGGTCTTCAATTTCCTCCACCAATCACTGGTTCTCAAAATGATCCCAATCATCTACACAACTTTGGTGGCCCACAGACTGGTCTTCAAAATGATCACAATCTATACAGCTTTGACAGTTATTATCATCCAGAACCTCATATGAACATTCCATTTTTCACTTCTGAATCCCACGGAAGCTTCGCTAATCCTCCCGCCTTTAATTTACCGGCCAATCACGGTGAAACCCTTGCAGGGATTGATTCAGTGGATCCAATCCTATCATACGAGCCTATTTCTGCCCTAGCAAGCTTACCAGAACTTCCACATCTACCTTTTCCATTCGGAATGACGTCTCCCGAATTCAACCAACAGATTTATAGAGCAAATCCCGGGCAGAAATATCCCGACCCGATCTTAAATGCCTGGGAACATTTCCAGTTGAAACCCCCCTTCACAAAGCGTAAATCTCGAGCTTTTCAGCCTCGAACTAGGCCCCACCACCGGGACAAAAAACTGAAAGTGTGTACGCCTTCTGAAGGGCCATCTGCTGAACTCTTCAACTCTCATGCAACCACAAGTTATTCCAGCCGTTTGGGGATGGATACTCCCAGTCCTTCAATTATCATGAATCTACCAAAGAAAATTGACTGCTGGTATCCTCAAATCGTGAATGAGCCCGACAATAATATACAGAGTCCAATAATTTATTGGCGTAGCCCCTCGTATGCTAGAAGGTACAATGCACAATTTCCACAGAATATGCTGAACTTTAAGGAGTACTCTAACAGCCAAGCAAATGTTATTAGGGTGGGATGTGAATTGAGAAGAATGAAATTTGATAAGAACACCTTCACAAATCATGAATGGAGCCAGGAAAAATTTTACTCGAATATTTTAAACCTGATCGAACAACTTCCGCATCAAGAGGCTTTTCAGGGAGAGCTGGTCATGACGCCCAACCAATTCATCGTGCATCATACTCTTGTCAATTGGATTTATCCAATCGAGAAGGTAAGGAGTGGAGCCAGTAGGAGAAAGCTCAGACCGGATGGTGGATCTTATAATAGTAATGACAACAAAGAAGGCAGAAGAAGAATGACGGCCGCTCATGGGTATCTCTTGGAGAACAAACGAGCTTGGTATGCGCATTGGAAGAAGCTTCTGAACTGGAACGATCCTGGGAACCCGATCGACCTGATCGAGAAAATCCAAACGGCCAAGATGCGAGACACAATCATCACATTCTTGTTCTTTGTTGAGATGATTGATTCGATTGTTCCTAGATCACGACCAGAAGGAAGGTCTTGTTCAGCATTGGAAGAGGCATTCTTGACATTAGAACGGATCTTCAACCCGGAGAAAATCGACCAATCCGTGAAGGATGAGAGGAGGGATTACATCCTCAAAAAGTTGGTCATTAGACCCAGGGTGCAAGATGTAATGCCTGCCCTTTGGGCTTTGTTGGAAGCTTGGATGGAAAATGATAGGAAAGCTTTCTTGGATAAAATCATCAAATCTAAAGGCAATCTGGATACTACCAAATCTTTCTTCAACACTGTTTTCTTTTATTCAATTCATGAACTCAACATTCAAATGGAAGAAACATAGTGTTTACATTCAAGTGTATTTCAGTTACTCAGTCAAGTGATAATTCTAAGTTATCTGTTGGATCTTAATGAAAAAGCTTCTTAAGATGGTTTTTCTTTAATATATGAATTTCTCCATATTTTAGATTTGTTTTTGAAAACTGCAAAATAAAGTGGCCATTTTTAGAAACATGATTTTGTGTTGTGTTGTTGTTTTTTAATCCTTGTAATATGATATTATCAGCAAATGATGTTTCTTCTAATTTTCAATTGATTATCTAGATTTTAGTTTGTGTCAAAACAAACTCACATTTGAAGAATTTCTATAGAATAATGATACAGCTTATATGAGAAACCCCATTTCTTCACATCAGAGATGAACTCAAATACATTATTCAAGTTTTTTCTCACAACATAAAATCAATGGAGGTGGATTGATAAAATGTGAATACTTTGAACAACATGTGTGCCATTTGAATTTGAAATCATGAGATGAGTTTAGAGATGGGCGCGCCGCATCCGGATATCCGTTCGGATTCGGATATCCTCTCACCATTTCAGCGGAATGGGACATCCGCATCCGCATCCGCATACGCTGGCGGATACCCGCGGATACCCGCCCTCTGAATGGGCGGCGAGGCTCTTCCAGGAGTGTTTGTTTAAAAAAAAAAAAAGAAAAAAAAGAAAAGAAAAAAAAAAAAAAAGAAAAAAAAAAAAAAAAAAAAAAGAAAAAAAAAAAAAAAAGAAAAAAAAAACCAGCCCCCTCGGCCTAAAGGGGCAGAGGCCACACCATCGGGAGGAACCCCTCCTGGCGAGCTGGTTTAAAAACCAGCTCGCTGGGAGGAACCGCTCCCAGCGAACTGGCCTGTAGACGCTCGCCGGGAGGAACCCCTCCCATGTGTACCAGCTCGTCGGGAGGAACCCCTCCCGACGAGCTGGTTTAAAAACCAGCTTGCCGGGAGGGATTCCTCCCCGGCGGTGTGGCCTCTTGGCACCGGGTATCCCAAGGGATACCCGTATACCCGCCAGTATTTCAGGGGGAAGGGTGCATCCGCACCCGAATCCGCACCCGCTGGCGGGTATCCGCTGGCACTGGCGGGTATCCGCCAGCGGATAGCGGATATCCGCGGCGGATTATCCGCGACCATCTCTAGATGAGTTACAGCATTTGCATATTTTTTGGGATTGAAAGAAGGAAGCCACATATTTTTGGCACTGTGAGTGTGGACAATCTCAAAACACACACCACAACATGGGATTGCTAGTTTCTTGAGTGATCATTTTTTGTGGATGCTTTCCATGATGTTTGCCTTTCTTTAAGTCTCATATTGAGCTTGGAGAAAACTGCCACACTTAAAATTGGAAAGTACTTGCTGGTGGTGTTGTTCTTTGGGTCTCCAAAATTCATTGTATGATTCTATGATTTTTTTCCCATACAATCTAAAACTTGGAATGATTGGAGGACTTCCCATCAACATTTAGAGTGTTTTTAGAACCCTCTCAGTTCTAAATTAACACTCCAACCAAAATCACAACTAGATTACATGAAGCCATCACAACAAGGCTTACAATTTTTTTTTTGCCAAAAATTATGATTGATCTGAAGTGGTGTAAATTGAATCCTGAAAGGTTTCTAAATCTCAACAGGAAGTCATCTATTGTAGCAGTACTGTAGTCAACTGCAAAGTGGAACTTGGAGTTTGTCAAACAATCCATAACTTTCATTTTTCACATTCAACAAAAAATTTATGGTAGTAAACTGTTGACAACAAATGTGCCAATGGAGAGTGCTCCATGCAGTTAGGCCAGGCTAGTGAGTAAGGGAGATGGGACTCAAGTATGTATGACACCCATAAAATTAGGGCGCCAGAAGGCAATGGAGACTGTTTCGAGCGCCGGGGCTTGAGCTAAGCTAGGGCAGGGACTTTGCTCGAAGTCCCAGGACTAACAGTTCGATAGAGACAGCGCTGATAACTCGGTGCAGGTTTGTGAATGTGATGTGAGCGGCGTCTTCAGCGAAACCGTCGAGGCCCTCCTCGCCGGCGGGGCCTTGGCTGACCCTAAACTCAATGAAGCCCCTCCGAAGACCGAGGGACTTGATTAAGTCAGGGTCGACCATTCTTGAGGCGCCCGCCGGTCCCGGTCCGATACATATGTGCAATTGGCCGAGCTTCCTGCTACAGAGCCTCGTACATGTAAGGAGGATCCTAACGGAAGTTGACACAGCCACAGCTCGACTTTTCCCGCTAGGGATGTTCCCAAACATGAAATGACCCGCAACCTATCAACCTATAAAGATGGGAACGGGGAAACCGTGACCGGCGCTATGGTACATAATGCCTGATGACTCCTGAGCAGCCTGGCCATCGGTGTCGGGCTCAAGATTATGAAGCGAGACTCGGCGGTTGTGCCTACTTCTAAGGCTGTTGAAGGAGGCTAATTAAATATGTGTACTTCTCAGTAGCCAGCTCGGCTAATCAGACCCATACCGATTGGAAAACTTGTTTAAGAAGACTGTGTGTCTCATGAGTCTCATCATTCTTAGGACGGGAAGGTTGATCAGACAAAAAAAAATGCCCAAGTTGATCAGAATTGCTTCGCCGTGCGGTGGGAACATGCAGTTGCTGGTTGTCATAACCCATTTGTTCGACAGTCGGCATCTTCTCTAAAACCCCGCAGATTTTCGGCCTTGGCTAACCAACCCAGCCATAATGCAGATAAGCCTCCATCACCTGCTCGTTGTTCTTTTCCTAATTATCAAGTGCAATGCAACCGAAGACTTGCTTTCCGATTACATGGCATTTTTCGACTTGGAAATCCCCACAGCGGAATACGTGGACCAGCTCATGGCCTCTTCTTATCAAGCGAACGTTTCTCCCACCAATCCAACTCGAAGGAGCTTCGGTAAACAAGTTACTCCAGAAAACCTCTCAACCGTTCCAATAGTCAGTTCCGAAGTCCAAGAAGTCTCCGGAAATATCCCTAGCAGTTATCGGCCGATCCCTGTCCAGGACAGAGAAAATCGTCCAAACATTGACCCGAAAGCTCATAGTTCATTTGTATCAAGCAATCACCCTTTTAACTCAGCAAGCCTATCCGAAATTCGAAGTTACCTCTCCTCAGTGGAATTATGTGTGGAATCCAGTGCAGACTTGCCTGCAAGTGGCAAGCGCAAACGACCCACAGTAACCGACACGAGCAATTCAAACCAAGAGCCTGCTTTGACAAAGTCCAGAATTACTTCTTCCGAACTTCAAGATAGACCTTATCATAGCCCTACCCACGTAATAGAAGATTTCAACCCTTCTGAAAGCTTCTCTAATCTCTTTGACTCTCCTCCGACCACAAGCCACTCCAGCCCGGTGGAACTTGATTTTTCCTCAGAACATCTACGCCGCAAAATAAGATCAAAAAAGGAGCCGCATGTGTGGGGTTCTGAAACCCAAACCCATCCATTCGATTCAAATATTCAACTTTTTTCGTGGTGTACCCTCCACAAAGCAAAAAGGTACCTTGCGAAATTTCCACAAAGTATTGTGAATCCTAAGAAGCGCTTGAGTAGCCAAGACAGGATCAACTGGGAAGGTGAATTTTTAAGACTGAACTTCGACAAGACAGCCTTCACCAATCACAAAACTTACAAAGACAGATTCCACACGAATATTGAAGGCCTGATCAAAAACCCTTTGCTCCTGGGTCATTCGGAGGGAAAACTGATGATGACAGAAGATCAGTATATTGAACATCATCCCAAAGTTAATTGGATACACGCAACTATTAAATCAGATGACCAATACGAGGGAATACAGGTCCACGAACACAATGAAGGAAGAGTCAGAATGGTGATAGGTCTCAAGATCCTATTGGAAAACAAAGATGCTTGGTTGTCGCATTGGACGAAGCATCTTAACTGGCGACTAGCTGAAAATCCAATTGAACATATCCAACTTATCAAACCTGATAAACTGAGTGATACGATAGTAGCATATTTATTTTTTGTTGAGATGATCAATACAATCGTTCCTGGACCACAAATTACGAGTTTGGGGTCAGACCTGGAAGATGCATTGAAAGTTTTGGAACGGCTGTTTAATCTAGAGAAAATAGACCAATCAGACGATCAGATAAGAGTTTATATTTTTGACAAAATGGTCCTCACACCATCACTGGCAAATTCAATACCAATCATTTGGAAACTCATCGAAATTTGGATGGAAACATCCAGAAGGGAATTTATGAGCAAGCTCCTGGGGAGAAGAAGAAATCTTGAAACTACCAAGGCTTTCTTCAATACCATTTTCTTTCACTCTATTGAAAATCTCACCAACAAAATCAGCAAATCTTAGTTGATGAATTTATTGTCACTCCTCATAATTTTTCTCTTGCACATGCATTTCATCAATTTCTGTATCCCTGAAAGAATTCAAGTTTTATATTATTTTTGAATAAACATAATAACAAGCTATTTAGAAACAATGAAATTTTAGCAAAGAATTATTAATTTTTTAGTCCGTAAGAATAAGAACAAATAAGATATGTATAACTGGGGATGATGACCTTAGAAGAGTAAGTTAAACTATGGTACAGCCTGGTGATTTGAAGCTTTTTTTTGCTAAAAGCTGGCCAGCAATGTGAGTATTAGCTATGGCTGTAGTTGAATTATCAAATACTGAATTGCAATAAAACTTTGGTTGATTTGTGAAATTAGCCCACTGTTCATGATTGGCAAAAGATGAAACCATTTCAGTTTTAAATTTTCATCCTTGTTTTTTTGAGTTCTATCCCACTGTCAATCAGTCTACTTCGACCAGTCATGTATTCTTCTGATCAGCAGCTGGACAGGCTGACGATGTGATGGAATCAGGAGACTCAACGCTCAGGGCAATTTCCTAGCTGAGCACAGGTCGGTCGGAGGCCCTGGCAAAGTGAGCCTCCGAACAGAGGCTCGCATCGCGCGGTCCCCCAGCCTTCGGAAAGGGAAGCCGGATGTCGCGTTCGGCTCGTGCAGACAAGCCGTTTGAGGTGAAGGCTCACACACAAGCTCAGACTGCGTCTTCGCGCCCCCGCCGGGCAGACGTGGCCTCACGTGGGTCGATTCGTTGGCCATTCTGACCCCCTGGCTGCAAATCTGCCCAACTAACGTCGGACAGCGGCAAGGTTTAGCAGGGTCGGGATCGGTTTGCCCGGCAAAACCTTCGCCGGGCCTGGTCGACCTGCTCTGGTGGTGTAGGCCTTGCTCGCCAGCGACCAGCTATGGTGACCCGATCAATCGAAGGCATAGACCTCCGCAGGCTGCAACACTGCACAGGCGCGGGGCGACGATCACAGGCCCGTCAAAACCCTCGCGAGTGGTGGTTCGCTTGGCGAGTTCTTGACCACCCTCCGATCGAAGGTTTTTGTACTCACATCTTCTGGAAACTCGCGCTCGCCTCACGTCACGCGAGGGGCCCTTGCCGAGCTGCCGATATCGCATTTGGCCTCTCCCCCGGGATTTTTTTGCGGTTGGTTCCCCACAGGCGCCAGATGGATGGTTCGATTGGGCATCTTCTGGACGAGTGTTTTGGTGAGTGGGCTCCTATTTCTGCTTGTTTTATGAGTGACATCTTCTTGCTTTCTGACTGCTGCCCTAAGGATAGAATTTGGACGCGACCAGGGACAAGGAGTTTGATGCCAGTTGTGATACCAGTGCTTGCGACCTGGAGTGATTGACATCATGATCAATTAAATAGTACATTTAAATATGCTGATGGAGGCTGGTAGCGAGTAATCGCGCTAAACCGGCCCATGGGTGCTAGAAGAACACCTACCGAGCATTGATATCAACTGAAAAGTTCAGGCAAGCTTTTGTGTCAACTTCAGGCTGAGATTCTGACTATTAACAAGCTCCTGAGACCCACTAGCCTCATACAGACCGAAACATGTAGGAGACGTCGGTTGGCCCAAGCTTGGTGTTCGGAGGGAAAGGCGGTCAGGGAAGATCTGACACAATTCACAAGCTGTTGGTCAAATTGGTTCAAATATGTTGAGAGAATAGTTTTCATTTATTCCACCGTCGCATCCTTTTATTCCCCTCTATTAATCATCATTGCTAAGGGAATTGACGATGCAAGCAAGCACCCATCGCCTTCTGGTGATATCTTTGTTGATTTTCAATTGCAATGCAATCGAAGAGTTGCCTTCCGATTACCTGTCATTTTTCGACTTGGAAACCCCCACAGTGGATTACATGGACCATCTAATGTCCTCTTCTTATCATAATCCAGCGACGATTTCTTCCCATAATCCAACTCCAGTCAGTTTCGACAATTTTCCCAAACCTGAATATCCTTCGAACGTTCCATTGGCCCCTTCCGAAGCCCAAAGAGTCTCCACAAGTATTCCTCGAAATTCTCGACAGGTCCTGGACCAGGGAACAGGAAGCCGTCCAAACAATGAACGGAATGATCCAAGGCCACTCGTATCAAGCAATGAGTTCGTCATTCCAACAAGCTTACCCGAAATTCAACAATCCCTCGTCCGTTCGGCGGAAACCCCGACGACAAGAAACCCAAAGGAATCCGGTTCAAGCACTCGTGCAAATCGCAAGTGGAAAAGCCTAGCTGCATTAATCACACAAACACCAGAATCTTGTCGGCCATCTCAAAGGCCATCTAATCAATTCGACCCTCTTCCAACCACGAGCCAATCCAGCCCATTGGAACAAGATGTTTCCCTGAGAAACTCAAAGGGTGACATGAAACCAGAAAATGAAATGCCTAAAAAGTTTTCAGAAACTAAAAATCATACGCATTCGCAGGAAAGAGGAAAACGTGCAAGCAATGACTTGAAGGATCAAAGGGCATTCGGATCAAGCAATCGTTTCGATACCGCTGCAAGCTCATCAACAATCCATCAATCCCACCTCCCATCGGGAAGAGATGTGCAGGAGTTCAGCCCAAGCACCCTTGAAAATCGCAAACGGAAAAGCTCAACATTAACTACGCGAACACCAGAGTATTTTCCGCGCTCCAAAAGGCCACATGATGGCTTTGACTCTCTCCCAACCGTGAGCAAACCCAGCTCGTCGCAAAAGGCCGTTTCCTCAACAAAATCAACTGAAATGAAGCAGGCAAAAGAAAAGCCCAACTGGCTTGTCGAGATTCAAAATTACATTGATACTCCAAAGGTTCCGATGACTTATTGGTCGACAACATGGCATGCTAAAGAATATAAAATAGAATTTCCATCCAGCATTGTTAATAGTAAAAATCGCATGCCTGGTCAATACGCGGGGGTTTTGAATGGCCTCAAAAGCACGAAACTAGTTTTTGATGAAGCGGTCCTTAGCAATCACGCATCATTTGAATATAATCTACAGCCTAGAGTCGTGCGATTGATTGAGAAAATTTCCCAAGAAGGTCCTGCAAATGGGGTACTGATGATGACAAAGCACCAATTCATGAACCACCATATCGAAGTGAATTCATTTTCTAACCAAAATAAAACCCCAACTCGGCACACCACTGCAAGAAGCACCACGAGGAACCGGAAAACCGTACCCAAAAGCCCTAGCAGTAATGAAGGACGAGCAAGAGTGGTATCAGCTCAGAAAATACTCATTCAGAACAAAGATGCTTGGCTTCAACATTGGAACAAACATTCCAAGTTCAATCTCATTGATCTCATTGGACTGGTCGACCTTATTCAACCGGTCAATATGAGAAATACAATAATTACATTTCTATTCTACGTCGAGATGATTGAAACGGTTTTGCCCAGATCATGGATGGGGACAGTGGATGTTGGGATCGAACTTGAAGAAGCTTTCAGAGTTTTAGGACAACTTCTAAATCCAGAATCAACCAATTGCAAATCAAACGAGAACAGACAGTATATTTTTGATAAAATTGTTATTCTACATTCACTACAAGACAACATTCCAGCACTTTGGACTCTAATAGGACTTTGGATAAAAACTTACAGAAAGGATTTTGCCAATGTTCTGATTCCGGAGAAGGACATCCTTCTTCGTACTTCTAAGGCTTTCTTTAATACTTTGTTCTATTATTCAATTGATGTTCTCAGCTCTAGAATTAAAAAATGATCAATTCAATCAATTAATCATGAGCTCATGCAGTGTTTTGAGTTATGAAAATTTTTAATCTCCAGTATTTATGTTTAATTTTTTTTGGCAAGAAAAAAAACTGAATTTAATCTACACACTAATTATGTGGAATACTTTGATCTATCAAATTAATTTTCTCCTTTTTGCTACTTGAACTTATTAAATTCATTCTTTCTACAACATTAAATTTTCTTTTTGAAAAAAGCTTGAAATTTTTAGAAACTCACCAATTGAATAAGCAAAAAAAAAACTGAGCCTAGAAAGAAGAAAACGAGGTGTCAGGTTTACTTTATTGACCATGTATCTTGGAAGTATCATGCACAGCCCCTAGACAGGAATGATGGAATCCCTTCATGCATTTTCATCAGGCAGGGGTTCACTTCTTTCTGTCAAGGGGCCTATCAGAGCTGCTAAATCTTCAAGTTTGATGACCACAGTACACTTTTGGCACTTTGTGCTCAGTCAATCTTGCACTGCAAGTAGTTAAGATAGCAAATGGGAAAGGCCTCCCTGGGTGGAAAAGACTGCACTTTACAGTGGATGGTATTGGTCTGTTCTTTAATTGCTGGTACCAGCCATGGAGATTGTACACTCTCCAGTGACTGGTAACAGCTTTCTTCCCTAGTGAACAGTACCCCTTGTGTACATATGTTTGCTATTGATCATGGGTATCAGTCTCAAAAGTGTATACTGAAATTGTGCAATGTTAGCTAAAAATTGATGGTTTTTTTTTTGCAGTGTTACACTGCACTACAGGCCACTAATGGCTGCTACAGGGTCAAAATGCCGCTAACCAGCATGTTAGTGCAGCATAGAAGGCACTTTTTTGGAGGCCTGCATGCAGCAGAATTCTGCTACACTACACCAAATTTTAGCCAAATTTTGCTGTGTTATGCTACACTAACACTATGGTTAGCGTAACTGGCCCATCATTGGTGCCAGGAACACTATACAGATGGGCCTGAATCATAATTTGTATCAATTTCACTCCTCCATAATTCAAAAAAAAAAACATACATACCTAAGGAATTCCTTCAAATAAGACCACATTGTTTCAACCACTTCTTGGAAATCATCTTTGTGTTAAAAAAACAACTCTTGTTTTAGTATGTATGTAGTGGGTTCTTCAGATACATCTGAGAGTCTAGAAAGAGAGTGGGAGAGAGATCAAATTCCAGAACAATGTTGGGATAAGGATCTCTTCAAGTCAAGGTGATTGATCAAAATAAAACACTAAAGGCCATTGACCCTCATTTATTTCCTTATTTCTTTTCATCCCCTCCTTTTTTCAAAAAAATAAAGGCTCTGTTGATTGTGTTATGTATGTATGTGTTTATGTAAATATGTGTTCTCATAGTCAAGATTTAAAGTACGATTTGTTTTAAATCTAAATCTAAACAATGGAAGATGTTTGTTCTTTTTTTTTTCAATGTGTGAAGAGAGGATAAAGACATAATTCATAGAAATACATCGAAACATATAATTTGCAAGTTTATTTATTTCACTAACAAAAGAAAATGAATTCTAGATAAGTAAATTGACAAACGGTAAAAAGAAAGGAGAACGAGGTTTGATATGCAAACAATGTGAGGAAGAAGAAGAACGAAGAAAAGGCGGGAAGATGAAGGAAATTTGTAGAGAAGGAGATAACGATACAAGCGAAAGCTGGGAAACAAAGAGAGAGAGAGAGGAGCAGGGCTAGAGGAGAGAATTAAGCAGGAGAAGGGGACCAAAACTCGACGACGTTAAAGTGCTGAAGGTTAGGATTCGCGTTACCTCGATAATCAACATCTAAAAGAAACCCGAACCGGTCGAAGTTGCGGTCGATGAGTTGTTGGCGATGGAGGACGATCTGGTTAGTGAATGAGCTGAGTTTGCTGCATTGGCCCGGGACTCCGGTGAGGAAGAGACTGGAGCGGACGAGGACGGATTTCTCTAGGATGCCGATGATCCCGATATCGATCATCTTCCCCGAATCTCCTCCTTCTCCTTCATTCTCCTCTTCTCCTTCGACTCCCGCACCCGATTCACTGCGCAATCGTAACTTCTCCTTGACCAATCGCTGGATCTCTTTGCGGTTCTCTTGGACGATCTTGGTCGTCTGTTCGGGCTGATTGAGCCAATCTGTCGTCTGGTCCCGATCTAGATCCAGAGTGTTGGATTTGTTCCGAACTTTCATCATCCGCTCGATCTCCTTGATCGCCTTGAAGGGCGAGAGTTGCAGGAATTTCTCGAGCAGATCGGCCGATAAATCGAGGGTATCGAGCAGAGTGTTGAAGGTGAACCATTTGAGAGAGATGGGATGACTGAGCAAGTCGCGCATCATCGAGTGATGATCCGGGGTGATCGATTTAGAGAATGTACCGCTATGCGCTTTGATCTCTTTATCGCTAGTCTTCCCGCCCGTCCGAGTCTGATCATCCAAGACTTGTTCGATCGGATAATCTGTCGAGAGATAGACAGCCTCCAAGCTCGGATAGGAGTTTTTGAGCGAGTCGAGGGTGAGGAGGAGGGAGGAGGCGCATCGCTGGAGCTCGGTGATCCGGATGTTCTCCTGTCGCCAATGCACTCCAACCATCGCTGGTGATTGTTTGACCATCATCTCCGCCAAGTCCACCCACACCGACGCGTATGGAAAGTGTTCAAAGGCTTTCAATTCACCCAACAAGACCTGCCCATCCGCTCCAGTCTTCGAATCACTCTCCCCCCGGAGTAAGATCTTTTGACTGGCACTCGAAAGCGGATCGAGGAACGGATATCGGAGCTCGTAATTAACCACTAAGACGTCCGGTACACCACCTTCTTCCGAGTCATCAGGATCACTGGTGAAAATACTCCGCTTATGATTGTCCTTCTTCTGAGTAGATGGATCGAAGGAATCCGATTGTCGAACAGAGTTGATGATCTGTTCTGCGAATTTATCTCGACCGGCCGTAGATTTCTGCCATTGAAGCGGGGCGACGATCGTGAGGGGAGAGAAGGAGCGGAAGTTAAGATTGAATTTGGTTGACTTTTTCTGGAAGCTGTTCCGGATACAGAACTGACGATCTTGCTTGATGAAGGAGAACGTATCCCTAGTGGGAGTAGAATGGTCATAAGAAACACTACCTTCAGGAGGAGTGGATGGGATCTGCTTGTGTTCGAGGATCGCGAGTAGTCTGGCTGAAGGTACATCGGAGGTGGCAGTGGCCCAGTGGAGGAAGTCCTGATGAGTCACCGTGTTTAGCCCTAGTCGATTGAGCGCGTTGGAGTCATAATATAGATCGAAGGGATATTCGAGACAGCTCCCCATGCGACTCTGACTGACTTGAGGTAGGACGAGTGTCCGATTGAGGGCTAGGGCGAGTAAAGCGAGTTGGTGGATGTGGATCTGAGCCTTTGTTTCCTGTTCACCCACATATCCGGCCACAAGGAACCGACATGGTCCGGGCAGATGATTTGGACAGTTGGGTCTCTTGGAGGAGGAGGAGGAGGAGTGTCGTTGATCGGTAGGTAAGGCGGTGACGAGAGGAAGACCGGCGTCGAGGGTTGAGGAGGAGTTCTTATCATCATCATCATTATTCATTAGTTCTTCGATCGCCTTCTCTTCATCATCTAGTTGAGACTGATCGAGTTCTTCGAGTACATCGAGAACATCACGCGAGACCGTTGGGATGCTTGAGTCTGGATCGCCAGTTGCTTTGGATTTAGATTTTCGTGAGAGTAGGTCTGGCCAATCATTAGAATGCTCCTTGAGTTGGGGCCAATAGAATAAGATGATGAAGATGATGAGGATGAGGATGAGCCATCGAATCCGACGTGAGCCTCTGAGGAAGATTCGACTGAGAAGTGATCGAGATTGGTTGGGATGATGGGATGAGGATGCTAGTCGGTTTAACGAGTTAGTGATCTGATTGGAAGATGATGATGATGGTGTTGTTGTTGAGATGTGGATGGGATGGTGGTAGTTGTTCCCTGATGGTGGGGTGGTAGTACTGGTTGGACGACGGGTAGGCAGGGAGCTCATGACTGAAACCTACGTAACACATCAAAGTAGGAGCACAAGATCATCAGTAAGTTCATCTGGGATCTCGATCAGAAGAAGAAGAAGAAGTCAAGGAGGCTGATGAGATTACACACATACCTTCTCACTGATTATAAATGCCTGTTGGATCGAAATATGATTGAGGGTCAGTGTTGATAGTGAGTATGGTTTGATGAAAGTACTGACCTGAAGGATGAATGATCCGAAGAAGTACAGTTCTTGTGGAAGACTGCACTGGAGGCAGTCTAGAGTAGGAGTGTACCACCGGATGATCCCGGGGCTACCCGACTGACTATGACTATGACTATGACTATGACTATGACTGCATCCTTGCCAGCCAGCCTTCATCCAACCAAGAACCCTCCAACTCTTCAATCGATCGAGACCAATGCTCAAGCTAAACTGCAAACCACCACGAACACTCAAACGGATCACCAACAACAAGCTCACCAAATATAGAGTCAGTCAGTCTGATTGACTATCTCAACTCAAAAAAACCATCACTGATCCAAGTTCTCTTACAATTAGCTCTATGCCACAGAGATCAACCCAGCCCAACCTATCAAGCCAGTCAAGAAGAAGGGAATCTTCAGGAAATTGATCCTGCCCACCACTCTCTTGGGTGGAACCCTTTACGGTGCTGGTCAGTACAAATCTCAATGTTTTCAATCAATTGACTTTGACTGACTCAAGAAAACATAGGCATCTATGGATCATTCCAAAATGATAAATTCAGAGACTTCTTCATGGACCAAGTACCATTGGGTGAAAAACTACTAAACTTCTTCGAGGAATCTAACCTCGAGCATGTCGCCGATCTCTCGAAAGGAACGATGGAAGTACTCGATCAATCCATCAAGAAGATCAAGACAGTCACCGGGATCACAACCTCGGAGGAGAAGACTCGCCAGAAAGACTCACCCACGCTCGAGAAAATTAAGGCGAAAACTGAGGCTGCCGTCCAACGAGGAAAAGATCTATCTCAAGACATCTCCAACTCATTGCCAAATCCACCCAAGAACCTCAACCCTAATCTCACCACTAAACATTCAGGACCATCAACAACAACCACTGCGACCAAAGTACCAATCAGTGATGAGGCTCCGATCAGTCTCCCGCAACCATCAGCCCAGACCGGCATGCCTACTTACAACCGAGAAATCCCGATCGGCCATGAACCACCTCCGGGATATCGTGGCTCAGCTCCACGACCTCGCGATCCTTCTACCGAACCACTCCCACCCCCTCCAGCCTTACCATTACTCGCACCGACGGTCAAGAATCTCTCGAGCTCAGAGCCGATCCTCGGCCAACTGGCTTCATCGATCGACAGTCTTGCCGGCTTCCTACGTGACCATCCTGACGTCGTGGTCCGGGGCAAGGATCCGAGTGGGAAAGATGCCCCCCGGGTCCTCTCGACGGCCTCGGAAGAATTGAAAAATCTAGCTGGACGACTGGAAACCATCAAGTCGGAGAAACAGGCTCAACTGCAGAACCAATTGGAATCACAAGCCAAGGAGTATGGCAAGATCCTCTTGGACGCCGAACGTGAGTTACACCAAAGACTCGACCAACAGGAGGAGAGTTGGAAGAATACCTTCGATCAGGAGCGCTCCAAGTTGGCGAAATCATTCGAAGATAAGCTGGCCAAGGAGTTAGAAACTCAACAAGCCTTGATCAACGAGCGGCTCGAACAGGAGGTGATCTCGCAAGGACTGGAGATGCAACGACGATGGATGAGGGAGATCAAGAGTCAGGTAGAGCTCGAACGAGAGGGTCGATGGGGCAAGCTGGCCGAGCTCGAAGGTTGCATGAAACAGCTGGGCCGGGTGACGTTAGATAATGAGGAATACTTGGAAGACCATCTGCGGATCAACCAGCTCTGGAATGCGATCCGGGCCATCTCCGCCTCGGCCTTCGAGAACCATTCAAAGGTCCCATTAGACCACGAAGCGAGGGCGCTCCAACGGATCAGCGACCGGGCCAAGAAAGCTAACGCGGCGGTCGCCGAGGAGGGCTCGGGTGGAGGAGCCTCCTCCTGCGACGACGTGATCTCCGTCGCCCTGGAGAGCATGCCGGCGGTCGCGATCGATGCTGGGGTCGAGAGCCTGCCCGGGCTGACGCTCTGGTTCAAGAACTCGGTGTCCCCCAGGATCCAATCGGCCAGTCTCTTGCCCACCCAAGGCGGCCTCATCTCCTACTTCACCTCGCACATCTTGAGCAACTTCTTCTTCACCAATCTTGCCCCTCAAACTGCTACTACTACTACTACCTCGCTCGACCATCAGCCTCAAGACCCGATCTCGATCCTCAATCAGGTTAATGCGCTCTTGGACGTCAAGGACCTCGAACAGGCTACTCGTCTCCTTAATTCTTTGAACGGTTGGCCGAAGGTCTTGGCTAGAGATTGGTTACAGGCGGCTAGAAGACATCTCGAATTACATCAGGCTATTCAAGTTGAGCTTCCCTTCTTCTTTCTATCTACCTTTGATTAATCTCACTCATCTCTATTGTTTTTTTTTTTGTATTAATTGTTAGGTCATTGAAGCCGAAGCTACTCTGCAATCATTACTGTTGTGAAATGATGTTTGTGTAGAATCAAGTCAAAATAAAAAGTGACTTCTCCGTTCTCCTTTTTGTATTTTTTTTGTTAAAAAGAGAGAGAGAGAGGAAAAGAGTGAACCCAGCTTGATGAGTCGGCATTCAATCCAGTTCAGATTAATCAAATTACATATAATCATACACATAGAAATAGAAAGATGTGCGATTGTTGTCTGTCTGCTCCTGAACAGAAAAAAAGCCAATAAAATCGAAGACTGATTATGATGAGAGTTTCTCTTTGTTTTGGGGAGGCGGCTGATTGGATTGAGAGGCGTCAAACATACTCTTTGAGATTTGGGGTGGGTCCTATGTCTTTGGTGGTGTAGGATCTTGATATGTTTTTGCAAGTTTCTGTGCGGATCGAATGCTTACAAATTCGGCGCAATTTGACTCAGGTCTAAGTTTAATCACATAGCCATGTCCTGGTTTGTTTTTTTTAGCTTGGATCAGTGGGAGATGTTCGTCTAAATGTGTCCTACCCGCTTGATTGTTTTCTACACACAACTTTGTTTTTTTTTGTGGGGGAGGGGGGTCGGGATGTATATTAATTTCAATGCACAAGGGTGGGATGCGGGGAACAACAATAAGGTAATGAAAAAAAAAAAAAAAGGCAAGGGTGGATATGACACAATATCGATAAAAGAATTAGTCAAGGAAATGAAGAAACAAAGAGTTTATTTTTTTCGTCTTCTCATCAAATCATTCAACCAAAAGATTTAAAAAAAAGAAAGAAAGAAAATTGTAGAAATTTTAACTATGTAAGTATGCGTGTACAAAACAAAACCAAACAGATCACCTGGAAGAAGGATGACTCGAGTGTGAACGAGGAGGGGTTTCGAGAGTTTGGATGAGCAACGGTTGGCCGCTGGCAGTGGGCGGCGGAGAGATAGCAGTGGGTGAAGTGTGGACCGGGGCATGATAGCTGTGGGTATTGGGTGCGTGTTGTTCAGTGGTTCTCATGGTGACCATCCGTCTATCAAATCCAAAGAGATGTTTTTATATCAGCAAGAAACAACGCTCAAATGGAAGGGAGCGGGGGATGAGCAGGGAAGAGGAGAGATGAATATGGCGTACTGTCCAAGCGTAGCTCTCGAACATGTCGAGCTCAAAGCCGGCCGGGCAAACAACAACCTACATCCCTCATCGGCCTCTTCCTCTTCATCGCCTTCCGAATGCTCTTCTTCTTCTTCTTCTTCGCCGGAAGACCTCCGCCTATTTCCATAAGGCTCGCCATCATCATCAGCGTCGCCTTCGCCCTCTTGTTGTTCTTCTTCGCTCGATCCACTCGGATGCCGACATTTCTCCGCTATCCGTTGCAGGGGCGACCGGGCGTCATTCAGCATCGGCTCGATGTCTAGGGCTGCGTGGTTCATCCCACTCGATTCACTCTCGCTATTTTTTGTTGGGGGGGATTCAGTGACAGGTTCTTCGATTTTAGATCTTCTTGTTGTAACCAGACAAATGGAGAAAGAAAGTGACTACTACTGACTTGGAGAGTCCGGTAGGATACGAGACGCATCTGCGACCTTTCGCGAGGGAGAAGATACTGCCGAGGACGGAGCTGGATACGCTTCTACGACTCGCCCGACGGGCCACCTCTTCTGGATCAGTCGAATAACAACTCGATGGGACTCGAGTCGATAGATGCGACTTATGGCTCCTCCGGAGCTCGGTTACTCGTTCGTTTCGTCGATCACTCTCTGTCACTTCAAGAATTTTTGTTTTTATCACAAAGAAAGCGACACTCAATTATTGAAACTTTTTTTTCGTATTGTTTGGTCTTCGCTTATTTATGATCAAATTTGGTTCTTACAGTTCTGGGGCTCTTGTGCTTGGCCCGCCTCACTCTGATACGAGATTCGACTGGTCGATTCTTCAGTGATATCTTTCAGATTAGTTTTGGATTTAGAGGATGGTAGAACCTTCGACAGAGCTTGATACTTGGGGGGGCTTTTTGTTTGTTTGTTTAATTTTCAAGAAGAAAAAATCAAATCAAATCAAATCAAATCAACAAATGGAAGTGAGACTGAAATAATCCGTTTACTAAGAGTTCAGCATCCTTACCTAGTAGCTTGGGTAGTGGTGTGGACCCATCGACTTCCCGAAGGACGTCCAAGTTGAGGCTTGACATAGAAAAGATCGCCGGAGTTGTATGAGTACTCGTCTCCATCAACCAGTTGCACTGAGCCCTCTCGCGTTTTCCCAGCGGGGCATTCTTGGATTGATACAGGAAAACCTGCGTCCATTTCGATTTCTCGGCTCAGCGAATGGTCGGTACCACGCACTAAAGGAAGAGGTATGAAGGGTCAGTCCAACCATTCAGAGAATCGCTCGGACGGAGAATTGTGGGACGTACTGCTACTATCTAGAATCCCCAGTTCGCTCACTCCACCCGTGTTGCCGATCGAGCCAGAGCCGAAGTAACCATTGAAGACGATGTCTTCATCTGATGCAGATGAATTCCGCGTTTCCCGACTGCCCGTCTTGGTCGGATGAGGCTCAGGATGGGCGAGCGAGATGCCGTCAGAGGTCCCAAACGAAGGATCCTTAGGGTACCCGGTAATCTCATTCGATGATGAAGAGTTCATAAGACGGCTACTATCTTTCGAGTGTTCTGTTCTGGTTCTGTCATACCTGTGAGCTTCGTGGCCCAGATTGGTATCCAAGCTAGAATCGTTCGCACTCATTTCATTCTTGACTGCAGGACTATAATTACGATAGTGGGATCGAGCATGGCTGAGGAGTTTTGTGGGTGAAGATTCATCTCGTGTTTTTGGGACGAGTGCTCGAGTGATTGGGAGTGAGGGTAATAAGACAGGGCTACTCGAGCAAGGGGCGCGTCTGAGGGGTACAATATGAGATTGGTCGTCACCGGAATTGCTAGTGCTGAGTTGGCTGGTGATGGGAGGCTGAGGGAAGGCGGGGAGACTATTTTTCTTGGGTCTGACCCTCTTAGCCGAGGATGGCAGTGGGATACTTGGACTAGAGGGAGGTAAGGAACGAGGACAGCTGATGGAGTCGAACGAATTATCCAAGCCGGTGATGGCGACGGAGGATGAAGGTGTTCCTCTCCGACATCTGGGTGGACTGCGTAAGGGGATGGTGATGAAATCTAAGGGGGAGTCACCTGGGTCTGTCCCATCACTACCCGAACCTTCATCCTCACATTCAGCAACCAACAGGGGTGGAGAAGCATCTGAATATCTTTTGGAGGCGCTCCCTTTGCCAGTCGTCCGACTAGATTTCGTCCGAGTCCCGAAAGAACGAGACGGGTTGCCCTGCGATTTGAACAACCCGGTAGGGATGATCGATTTCTTAGGCTTAAGTGTTGGCGGCTTGACGTGGCGGGGACTAGTGAGCTCAAGCAACGAGTAGACGGCTTCCATCGACTTGGCTTTTAAGGGACTCGTTGGGGGCGACTCCTTCAAGGCCTGGTAAGCTCGAGTTTGTGGTTTCCCAGTCGGCCCGGAAACGGTGGATGATTGGTTGTAACTGAATACGAGCTTGGCTTCGCCGCGCTGGATTGCGGAGACGGCCGATTTAGGATCATTGGGAAGCCCTTCTGGATCCTTCACTGGCGTCTCCTGCTCCAAAAAATCCTTGTGCACCGGTAGCTCATTGTTGTAGCTCGTGATGGTGGAAGGAAGTTTGAGAGCGGAAGAAGAGAGCGAGCCGCAAGCCATACGCCATCTAGATACGCGCTCCCCCGTATTCGTATTCACTGAAGGGTCGTGATACGGATTGACATAAATCGGAGTGGTTTTTGGCAGGGGCTGATTGTAGGCAAAATCGGGTCGATCAAGAGTCTTGCCAAACATTGGCAGCTTTGGGACGAACTTCTTCAACCGCGCCCACTTGTTTTGTGATCTTTTAACAGGTTGACGTTGAGGAGTGAGGAGGAACTCGGTTTGTAGGGTTGGTATATCCTTTTCCTTCGTGTCAGCATCTTGTAAACAGAGATGCTCTTCTTCACGGACCATGGCAGGGTTATCGTGCTCCTGAGAATGCCTTACATAATGTGGCTGAGTTTGACTGCCATGATGGTGTTGGGGATACAGGCGGGAGTTGAATGCATAGTGGATTTCTTGAGGAGCGGAGTCGTCGTACTTGTCAACCATACCCACATGCTTTCTACGTCTCCTTTGGCGTTTGATGAGGATGAAAGTAGCGGCTAGGATGAGGATAATTAGGATGGCGAGTAGTAGAACAAAGCCCAGAGCAAGCGGATTGTATGCTGGACTGTTTGAGTTGTCGGGAGTGGTCTGAGTGGTATTAGGGTTCGGTTGAGCGACAATGACCGTGGTCACAAGGACCACCGATGGGCTCGGGGCGGCAGGGATAGCAGAGGCCGGCGGGGACGGCGACGCGGTGATTGGCACAGAGGCAGTTTGTGCAGGAATCGGGGCAGTGAGAATTACATCGCCGAGGATGGTGAAGGGCCCGCTACCATCAATAAATCTGACGACTTGGGGGGACGGGAGCGCCGAGGGAGCCGCGGGTGAGGCAGTGAGAGGATTGGCCTGGATGGAAGTAAACGGCCATGACAGCGGGATCGACGGCCCACTGTAAGTGATGGGTAATTCTACTAATCCCGTGGTGACCTTGTCAGAGTCTTGGTATCGGAGGGTGACAGGTTTGAGCCATTCCGGTAAGGGTTGGGCCATCCTATGTAACTAGTCCGGCCAGTGACTTTGATTATGGCAGACCGAAAAATACCCTGAGCGTCGCAAGCTTTCAGCAGAATTCTGCGGCGCACGGCACTCGATCCAGTTTGATTGCTATGCTGTTGACCGCTTTCCTCGAGTGGAGATCTTGACAAACTCTAGGCCACCAAAACTCGATAATCCTCGAGGAGCTGGATGCTGGTTGGATATTATAATTAGGGCCGACGATAGGTCAACATGGGATAATCGTGGGTGGTGAAATACAGAGGATCACTCACAAAAAACTCCCAAACGATTCAGTTCAGGTGCGATATTATACGAGAGCGTTGTGGTTGATAATGTAATAAGAGTCGATGGATGCCCAGTTGAAGCAACCTGAGCAAGACCAAGAAGAATCTGAGGAAGAAAGCCGGTAAGAGCGGCGGGGTGTTGTATGAAGAAAGAAGATTGTGAACAAGGCGGAGCTAGCTGGCAGCAGCAATTTTGGGGACAATTTGTGACAAAGTCGTGAGCAGTTTCGTGTCTGAAGTATTAGCGTTGAGGATCGTGGGCAGGTTCTACAAGCGTGGTCGTTATCGTCAATGTGAGAGTGGTAGAAGGCGCTGAGGCAGAGTGCGGTTCGATGGATCTATGGATCTATCTATGGACAAGCAGGAACAAGGAAACATCTATTCTTCATTCAACGAGGAGAGTTGTTACCATCGTCGACGACAAAGTGTATGTACGGGCAGAGATGGAGAGCTAATCAGGAGCCACTTGGTCTCACTCGCGCACACCAACCGAGACAAACCGAGAATCGATTCTATCAAACGCGGACCTTTGTTGGGCTATCTGCAAAGATCAGCCGGCCTGGAGACGGAGGAATCGTCAGCGGAAGGTTCGACAGGATGGATGAAAAAAAGAAAGGCTGCAGTAACGGAGACAAACGCGGTCAGTGTTGATGAGCTAGGGAAGCCGATACTAGAAAAGTGTCCGGTTTGGCAGAACCAAGACTAGGAATGTACAAGGAGAGTTATGCAGCCGACGCGTTCTGCGAGACGCGTTTGTCGAGAGCCTACAATTGTATCGATCAAGAAAGCTTCAGAGTGGCAGTCCCATACAACGCATTTAAATCTGCTGTATGTCAAAAATTCCTTGACTCTCCCATGGGGAAAGAACATCTGTATCGAGCCTGGATACCTTCTTCCGGACAACGTGTCGGCCACGAGCTAGAGAGCCACGCGTTTTGCTCTGTATCATACTGATGCATGCCGGCCAGACAGGGAAGAGATGGCCATCTTGGTTCTGGTGATTGGTCTCTCTCTGATGAGTCTGTCAAGGCTACCATCGAGAATCGATCAGGCTAAAAAGCTACCAAACCCAGATATCAGATCAACGATCCCTTGGACGGACATGCATCCCAAATCTCCTCTAAAATCGTGTCCATCAATCTAATCCTTGAACTGTGGTCTAACGGAATAAACAACTCACAGAAGCTCACAGATGTTTCAGAACTTGACGAAGATTCCAGATTTGAACTTACTTGCCTGTATGTAACTGCTCTCCAAATCTCACTTGAAGATTATATGGGCTTTGCTTTTGGCTGTCACCCTCTATATATATCGCATCCCTTTCACCAAATTAAACAAAAATAATTCCATTGAAACCTCCTGTTTTGGGCATCACTGACCCATGATCACTCCCTCTGGGGTCACATCCTTGGGCCAAAGAATGGTTTGATGGGTATTCTATTTGAACAGCTAGAAACAACCAGAAAACTGATCAAGTAGTGACATCAACCCAGCAAATGAAGAGCCTAACAAGTTTTATGAATCCAAAAATCCAAGCAATGCCCCACAAGATCAAAGGCCAGTTGTACCCAGCAATCATCTTTCTAGTCTTCTGCTGCATCAGAAATTAAACCATCACACCTCCCATCAGGAATAGATGTGCAGGGATTGAGTTCCAGGACTCTTGAAAATTCAAAATGGAAGAGTCCATTAAGAATTGGGCAAACATCAGGATATTTTCCATGCTCCAAAATGCCAAGTGATGGTATTGAATCACTTCCAACCACAATCAAACCCAGCATGTGAAAAAAGCTGTTTGCTCAAGAAGATGAACCCCCCAAAAAATCTTAACTAGCTTTTTTATATTCAAAATGACACTCACATCAATCCAAGGGTTGTAAACATCACACAGTGAACATCATACGTACAACAATATTCCCATACAGCATGCTGAATAGCAAGAACTGCTTGAAAGGTCAATATGGGCTTGGGGATAAATTCAAATACACAGATTAATGTTTGATCAAGCATTATTCACTGATTGTGCATCATTGGAATATAATCATACCACAAATTGAAAAGATTTTATATGGGGGTCCTGTAAGGGGGATGCTGATGATGACCATGTACAAATTCATGAGCTACCACATTGATTTCATTTTTTTTCTAACCAACATAAACTCCCAACATGGTGCATGGGCCCCATTGGAAATATGAACAAGATACCAAGAATGGAGAGCAGTGATAAGGGAAAAGCAAGAGTGATGATATTTTTAGCTCAGAAAAGACTCATACAGAACAAAGGTTTTTGAATTCAAACATTGAAACATTAGTACAAATGATCTAACTTATTCAACCTGTCAATATGAGACATGCAATAACTGTGAAGATGAAGCAGGACGGCAAACACTGCGGACGACAGCAAGGGGCTTAGTGAGGAGGAAATACTGCGGAATCTTGTCTATACTCAACTTAGGTTTCACCATCCGTTGTACATAGATTCATCTTAGTTCCGAGCTTGTATTTCCTTTTCTCTTTTCCTCACTCATTCGTCTGTCCATTTGTCCGCCCGCACCATCCGCAGGTGCTTGTCTCTTCTTCTCTGCCTCGCTGCTCTCTCCATCCTCTCGATCTCAGCTCCTCACGACATTCTGGTCTTTCATAGGTTTGCCTAGATTCTTTTCTTTCCTTTCATCTTCTCTTTTCTTTCTTGTCATGCAATGCATCACTCATTCGTCTGTCCATTTGTCCGCCCGCACCATCCGCAGGTGCTTGTCTCTTCTTCTCTGCCTCGCTGCTCTCTCCATCCTCTCGATCTCAGCTCCTCACAACATTCTGGTCTTTCATAGGTGCTTGTCTCTTCTTCTCTGCCTCGCTGCTCTCTCCATCCTCTCGATCTCAGCTCCTCACGACATTCTGGTCTTTCATAATAACTAATGGGTCTGGCTCTTGGTTCAACAGCTCCTATGAATGGGAGTTCCAACTCCTACTCTTGGCAGATGTCAACCAGACACCAAGATGCTATTGCTGTTCCTGGTTGGCTGCCAGGACCCGATTTATTTTGTGATTTGTTCTCCAAAAACCTGGTGGACTTTTGGGAATCTGACCCCCAAGCTGTTTTCTTGGGGAGGGGTGGTCATGGCAAAGAGAAGATTGATCCTCCAAGACATGATTTACGTTCTCCATGGCCCAGAGTTATTTGTTGCCACCATGTAGTCTGTAAGGTATCCATAACCACATGGAATCTCCATCATGGATTCTTTACACATGACCAACAGTTTTTTAAATCTCTGTTATATGAATTTTTCAAACTAATTCTTAGAATGAGTTGCCAAATTTATCTTGCTAAATTGGATGAAAGAAATACACCCGACGGACTTGAAGCTAAAATCAGATCTCATGTATACTCCATCATAAATGATCTATTTTCAATTTATTAGGAGGTTTCCAAATTAGGATCTTAAAGTTGTCCTTGGCCTTGCTACAATTCTATAGAGTTTGAATACTGGTAGCCAAATCCCACAACTGAGTTTCAGTGGAGCAAGTATACTAGGTCTCCTCCCAGAATTATCAGATGAATGAAAGGGACCAAGGTTCTTGGCCATGGGGGGAAACCACAATTTTTAGCGCTAAAAAAGTCTATCACTATGAAAACAATCTTACAAAACTGGTGGAATTTGGCATGCAGGTTACTCCCAATGTAACTTCTGTGATACTTTCATCTCTTCCAATGTAAGAATTTCTGCAAAGTCACTGTGCAAGGTGCACAGTGAGTGTGCATTGAATTATGGCTGAGGTAATGGTTGAGTAAAATCTGAGTAACAACCCAACTTTGAAGAGAGTTTCTGCATGTCAATGGCAGCAGTTCCTTGAGACTTCACGGGGCATATTTCCCAATAATTTATCCATAGATGCATAAGCCAAGGTTTATTCACACTTCAGCTGTTAATCTTGAGTGTAATAGGGGGTTTACAACAGTTTTTTTTTCCCTTGATTTGTTTTCTTGAATGCAACATTTTTTGCCTACTGGATGCAGCCTTTTGCCTTCTAAAACTGAGTGTGCAGCATCTGAAGTACCACAGCACAGGTCCCATGAAAATCCTTGTGAATGCCACCACTCTTGCTCAAGAAGCTATATTGCACCTGGTTCTTTGCAATTGAATGTGATAAAACCTTACTTGAATAATACACACCAAACCTGAGTGCCTTGAGGATGTCTTTACATAGATTAACAGACCTCCAATAGCTAGTATTTTGAAAGGATCAGGAAGCAATGATCATGCTAAATATTTGAGAAAGGAATTCAATTTAAAACTTCTGAATCTAGATGACAAATAGATCATCAATTCAATTTTTTCTTCTTCTGGGGGACAAAACATATGAAATTTCAATAGATAGACCTAATTGGGCAGTAATGGACAGGTGGGATTGATTCAATTGGGTTGAACAATTTTCTAGACCACCAGTTTGCATTCAAATCTGAGAACATCACAACAATGCAGATGTGCAAAGACCTCCTGTCCAGGAGAGACTTGCACGGTAAACTGGTATTTTGGTGTGAGTACCTGGACACTCAGCTTCACAAGCCTATTTTTGTCAAAATTGGAGGGAAAACAAAGATGTGCTATGTTCCTGTGCAACCTTGGAAATGCCTTTGGTACCAATATGTTGACGCTTGGTTTATTCTGTTCATTTTGGCTGGTTTAATTTCTGCAAAAAGTCTGACTCTGATCCTTTGCCCTCAGGATTGTTCAAATCATGAGGGTTTGGAAAAATTTGCCCTGTAATCCCAATGAAATCCCCAAGAATCTTATGGGGAAGGTGAGGGCTGAGAATCAAAAGATTGTATGTATTCAAGGACTAGGAATTTCATGATGGAAGTCATACTCTGTGCCTCAGTGTTCAAACCTCTGTTATTCAGGTAAGTTCCTCTGTGAGACAGACACTCTTTGGGGCTGCCCTTCAAGCTCTCTACCAGAGCTGTTCCTAGGCTCATCAGATTGGAGGTGCTGGTTGAGATTGTAGCAGAGATCGGGCATCAAGAAGGCCCATGCAATGAGCCACATCTGCTGCAGGTTTTTTTTTTTCAAAATTTTGATTAGACTTTTCAAAGAGGAGTAGGTGTCAAGCCCCAAAACTACATTGTTCCACAAAGGTGATTTGATTGTGAAGGCATCATGTTACATGTAACAGTCTCCATTTGCAGTGGGTTTTGCCATTACCATCAGCAAATGTCAAGGACAAAGCACAAAACATCAGACATATGGGTGGAGGTTGTGAGATGGTGAATGTGATGGAACAAATTGCATTTAGAGATTCTTTCTTGTGGTGTAGTATTGACATAAAAGATGGCCAACGGTGAGTGGGGGTGGTGGTATTGAGAGTAGATTTGATAAACATGTGTCAAGGCGGCATAAGGCCCAGGGGAAATGGGCGGCAAAGACACTTTCGAACTCTAGTGGAGGTAAACCAAATAAAAAAATTGAAGCGGTTTTATTGGCAGAGGTAGCTCAAGGCTCGCCCAGTTGCTCGAAGATCTGGCCGTTTTTACCATGTGCATCGATTGCGGGGTCCGCCGTCGTACATAGTTGAGCTCGTCAGGGTTGGGTTTTTGAGTTTTGAGACAGCTCGACTTCAGCAGAAATTCGGTCCTTTGCCCTAACGACTTTGCTCAACAGATATTTGCTCGTATTCTCGTTTGCCTGGTACATTCGTTCATATGCTTTCAACATGTTGGCCAGTTCCTCGGAAACTACGGTTTGGGTGGGACCCTCGGAGAATGGTACATTCTTGACGTTCAATATCTGGCATGCTTCGTCAACAGTCATCTTGTGTTTCCGGGTGATCACCGAGCCGTCCCCAGCCATGTTGCCCAAATTCGCTCCTCCGCGTTCGCCAGCACTTGCGGCATGTGAAGTTCCAGAGCGAGCATCTAAATTTACCCATTCAATGGAACAAAGCTGAGCGATCAAGCTTTGACGAGAGGCAACAGACAGAAAACTTACTTCGCGCCGCCTGTCGGTATGCTTCAACAAATGCTTTCCCTAGAATCTGCGAACCGAGTATGACAACTTGCGAAACGATGCGTGGTAAGGACTGTGTGATGTGGAGTACGTAGGTAGTGTATGTCAGTTCAATTTCAGGAGAATAAGAAATTTGGGACTGACCATTCCAGTTCAATCGGACGATTGTTGGAAAGAGAGGGAGAGGAGGGGCTCTTTCGATGATAAATGTTCACTTGCATGTTGTAGAACAGAGAACTAGTCTATATGCATGCCACAAGGAGGGTCTAAATGAGACTTTACTGTAGCCCCTCGCCACACCCTTCGGGTTCCGGATAGCTCCGGATCCAAGTCAAACACAGATGCGCTGGCAACGGTGGACAACACATTTTTTATTGCATCACCATTGAGGACTAATTGGAAAGTAGAAAATACATAGAACAGTGGACAGTGAACTTGGAAGAAAAGATCTTTTTGGTTCAACCGGTACCCCATTCTAAGGCAAGCCTGACCCAACCCACTATGGGCCACCCAAGGTCGACCCATCCATGCCTGAATTCACTGGCACCCTGATCCAGATCCATGACAGGTTGGGTTGACCCGATCCATCTCCACCCCTAGACAGTGACGCAAAGGGAAGAAAACTAATGAAGAATATAGCATAAACTTAGAGGAAAGAGAAAAGCTAACCTAGGCCCCGCCGGCCAAAGAGAAACTTGGAAGCATGAGGACAGTCCTTCCACATCTGCTAACCTGATCAGGTATATTCTGATGATTGCATGGTTCATTATTCTTTTTCATCTTGAATTTTTTGAAGCATGTATCTACCAAAGATATAGCGTGGAGGGCCCCTCCAAAATGGTATTTTTCAATCTCATTATTTCATCACAAAAAATTATTAATTCTACAAGCCAAATAAAATCGTGTCGTCCTTTTGCAAAAAAAATAACATATTAATGTGTTTTAGGCATCGTTTTCTGGAGCAGAGCCAGATATATGTTGATGATTTCGAGGCGGAACCTCCAATCCTGTATGCGGGTCTATGTAGTTTCCTTGCCCCTTCAAAAATTCGGCAGCTCTTCTATCTATTTCACTCCACCAATTGGGATCTTCGAGCTTCATTTTAAGTGCAGACACATCCAAGTCATTGGGACCAAGGTTTTCCAGACTAGAATGCCCAGGTGAGTCAAGCACAGCATTCCCGGAGGGGTCTAACAAGGAAGAAAAATGGGGTGAGCTTGATGTCCAGTCAACAGATGGAGGAAGACTAAAGCAAACAATACATGGACGTACCTTCTTTCGAAGGCGCCTGTGTGTTTCGCTTCAAGTTCCACTCGACCTCTTCAGCGCCATGTGGATAGGAGTTTACAGGATTCGGAGCATCAGGTTGCGACTCAACGTGGTCTTGGCTTGTGTGTAGGGTCATCGGGGAGCTTGTGGGATGCTTGCCTTCATCACGCGCGCCTAATTGGAAGAAATAAAAGGGAAAAGTGATTAATTATCCCGGGATTTATCAATAAGAGGGGAAATAAATACATGTTTCCGAGAATACGTACTTATGGAATCGATGTTGGTCAATTTGCTACCTTCCTTCGTCTGTGTCGGTGAGCGTGGCGTGGAAGTGGCTCCTGAAGACTCCCTTGATAAAGCCCCGGCTATTGTGAATTCAGTCCGGTGCTTAGTATTTATGCTTTCATCATCAGTGAGTTATATGGGTGGTTGGCTCACAGGAAATGGTTTCTGATCTGTCAATCGTCGTATCTTGAGCTACAGTTTCCCTCTCTCCAGGTCTGTCTGAATCCACATTTGATGAAAAACCGACTACAGCACAAGAACACCAATTAGATGACCCGTATTAAAGCTATCATCATCAGAGAGTTTTCTATTTCAGTGGCTCACCGAAATTGACACCTTTTGACTCTTTTTCCTCAGCCTGTAGTTGTATATCTGATAGCTCGACTGGTCTTCTAATTGAATTCGTCCTTGGTACATTACCTGTACAAGTGCAAAATGAAAATTGGTCAGTTATGTCTTTGGGATCACTGTTGACATCTCACTCAGAATAATCCACAACACACTCACAGCCACAAATCAAACTGGAAAGTGATGCGGGGGCACCTCTGGATGGGAAAACTAGCCAGGATAGCTGGAAAGAGAGGACAGCGAGCCATTGCATAGATCTTGTAAGCTTCATCGATTCTAGAAGGGGAAGATTATGGATTTTTTTCTAGGTTTCTCTATGAGACAGAATCGTTTGCGGGCTCTGGATCGCAACTTGCCTACATTAGATCTAGGCCTATATATACTAGGGAGTCGCGGTTTCAGCTTGAGTGTTCGATCAGATTCCAGAGCGCGCATTGTCATGTGATCTCTGCCAAGATGGCTACAGCTGGACTGTTTTCTTTGAAGCGTGGGTGAAGCAATCGTACTGATCTGATGGCGATGCAGACTTCGCAAAGCATTCAAGGGTTTGGTGAGATTTGCCCGAGTCTGAGACTTCTTCTGTCGCAGTGTTCTGAGGGTCGGGCGGGGGCATGATCTTACCGAACCTTGGGCCACCTTCCTTGACGGTACATGCGTTCGGCGGGGCTCGGTGGGGTACCTTTCCGTCCCAGTCTTGCCTCAAATTGCGGCACGGCCACTCGGAGATATTACCCCACGATTGTTGGAACATTTCTTGACGAGAAAAACTACATATCCGCACTGGTGATGTATCAGTATATGCACAGAAGAGAAGAAACCCCGTAAGTGTATTGCTTCTACCCACTTTCACCCCGGGCCGGCTCTGTCATCTGATAAATTAATACACCAGGTTTGGATTTTGTACACCCACAGCAAAAAGATGACTGAGGCTGAGCACTTTTGTTGCAAATTGAGGATGAAAGATATCATGCTGTGCTTCAGAGGCATGCACATGGTGCCCGCCAATGGTGCACAAAGAAAAGCTATGCATGTAAAACTTTGAGGTCTTTACTTTGTTGTTGCACACAACTACGGCTGATAGTAATCAATGAAAGATCAATGGGACACAAAATTAAGAGAAAATGAGGGGAAAAATTCAGATAATTGATGGAGGGATGAAAGAAAGTAGAATAAGACAAGCAAATGGAAGCATATTACCATAGTTCTGACCCTGACCATACCTCAACAGATACCACAAATTTTGTTGAGTTTTTGAGCTCTTGACCGGTTGAAGTTGAGATATTTGAGAAGGTGGCACAAAGAAGGCAGGGGCCCTTTTTTGGGAAAGGTTCAAGTTGAAGGAGTGAAAAGAACCAATAATTTTTATTCACAAGTATCTAGCTAGGTTTAAATAGACTAAATACAAGTGTGTCAGAATGTAGTTGTAAGAAATGAAATGAATAGAAAAAACATATTGAATAAAACACCAAGAGAAAGAAACATGAGTCTTGGAAGTAACAAACTGGACAGGGCTTCTCAGTCTCTTTTAGTCAAGCCAGATGAGTTAATCAAGAAAAACATGCTATAATTCACAAATAACTAGAGTCGTTAATTCTAATTAATCAGGTTTTAATAAATCAAACAGTAAATCAGAAAAAAGAAGAATTCATCGTGGAGACATGAGTAGTTTAGAGTAAGCTGATTACTTATGGTTCAAATTTGACTCAAAAAGGGGCTTAAAACAACCAAAAACATGCTACTTGAAGAATATAGTCTGGTCTGACTTTTGATGACTAGAAATGGATGAAGGGCAGAGAGAGACAGAACTGAGGAAAATTCAACAAATTTGATAGTAGGAAAAACAAGTTATAAACAGCCAATCATGAGAGAAACATTGAAAGGATTTCAGATGAGGAAATGATAATTTGTAGCTGAATTTCTCCACTAGTGGTTTCATTGTTCTGGAGAGCCTCCACAGTTTGATTAATTGTGATTCTTAGTGAGTACAATTTCAGATGAAAAAAAAAAAATCAAAATGTAATTATTGGATTGGATGTTGAATGGGTCAAAGTTGTGAAGCTTTGAATGAATTTCTGCTAGGTGAAATTCTGGGTCTGAGAATAGAGAATTACTGGAGGTGGCTTGATTGACAATCTTACAAAAACTCGCAAGGTCATGAAAAGGTTTGGATGGATTAAGAAATTTTGTGTTTACCTCAAGAAGAAACCAATTCGAAAGAAGAAAGTTCCTATCCACATCATGGTGACAATGACTCAAGACAAGGACCTATGGATTAAATGATTGCTGGTGTATGGATTGGGTAGCACAGTGCAAAAGGATATGTGTAAAAGCTGGAAGGAGGACAAGTTGTGTTGTATGACCAAATACAAACCAGTTGCAAAGAAATTCCAACCAGTAAATCAAGCCATGCCCCAAACAATCAACCCACCCTTGCAGAGACCTCAGTTATCACAAGACCCCTACAAAACACCATTATCACCCAGTTTCCAACCAACACAGAAAATTACAGAGGAACAGTACCATATGGCATGAAAATCCAATTTTCCAAAATCTTTCAGAATTGATTTTCCTCAAGTTTTCATATCATCAAAAGTTGCCCACACCAAAGAGAATTTGTTGGCCTAAAAGTGAAGGATTTCAACAAGAGATGTACCCAATTGATTTCAATTTTTGTGTGCAAGGCCGGAAAAAGCACCATTTTTGAAAATTCAATCCCTCAGTTGTCAGTACAGGCGGCAGGCCCTAAATATGCTTGAATCATTTGTACACAAACTTTAATGTCAGGAAATAGTATATGAAATGCAACTTTCCCTTCAATTGATGGTCGTGAGGTCCGGAAAGGTGAATATATGTAGCATATTTTTCTTTCTTTCTGAATTCAGTCCAGCCAACATTTCTGGAAGTGGCCTGAAGTGACACCCATTTTTGTTCTTCTTTGATTTCTCTTCTCTTGAAATATAATCCAATGATAACTCTTACCCATACTGATCAACACAACCTCTCTGTTGAAATTTCTTGACCCTTGAAACTTACCAATTTGATCTCATCTTAACCCTGAACTTCGATCCCATTCAAACTCAACCCAATCTCCAATCTGGGGACGGCCTAGCCAAGTCTCAAGATTCCCATTGGGCCAAGCCCAAACTCAGCAAGGCCAATTGCAGAGTCTCACTTGGGAAGTACAATGCACACCAAAACAGAGGCCCAAGTGAGCCGGAACCAAAAAAAAAAACACCCTAGGATACACAAACAAAACATTTGGGCCACCTGAGGCTTGGGGAAGAGCCAAGGTCCTTGATTTACCATGATCTCGAATTTTAACAATGTTATCAAATTCTCAGTCCATGATGGAAACATAGTGTGGGGGATATAGGTCTGCTCGAATCCTTTGGGGCATGGCTGTGAGCTTTTCTGGAGGTGCCAGGTTGAGGCCTCCGGGTAGCTAGGACTTGTTCAGCAAACAATTGATCTTCCTTCCGGTCAAGATTTGGGATTTCCCCCCTGTGAGAATACAAGAGGCTTGATTAAACCCAGCAAAAGATGATGTGCCAGGCCCGCCGGGAATGCTGGCCAGGAGTTGGTGGAGAGCGGGGAAGAATTTGTGATCTGGCTCCAGCAGTCGCCATCATCTCAATCTCCAGTCCTCCCAGATCCTACCCTCCCTCCAGATGGCCCAATGCGACCAGGCTCTCATCCCCTCAGTGATCGATGAGGCCATTGACTTGACTGATTTTCGAGGGTTTCCTTTCTTGAGTGCCAGCTGAACACAGTTCGTGACTCTATATTAAAGAGTCCAATACTCTTACCCACTATCGATAAAGAAGCAAGAGTCAGAGTGACAACTGTCTGATTTTACAGATTTTTACCTTCCTTTCCCCTTTCCCGAGCTCAAATATTGTAAGTTTGCATACACCTCTTACATATCTAATTACCTAGTCCATCCATTCCAGGCCCCAGATGCAAGTGTGGGGGCCGATTCGGCTAGGACTCTGCAGGCGAAGGCGCGGCCAAATGCTTGTTGTTGTAAATATGTATTCTGTTCAGCTTGCCGTGCATCAACAATTACTGAATCCAGTATGTTGTATCTCTAATCAATCATCGGCTACGGCCATCCCGGTCAGATGCCAGCAGCCTGTGGCCAACCTAATTTCAGACCCGTCAGATTTCAACCATCCTCCTCACGGCCACCGTCCGTTGTGCGAGTCTGCGAGGCGCGAGCCGAGCATGGTGCGTGATCTTAGAGCCTTGTATGCTGCATGTGCATTTGTACATGTACAACTCTCCGCCTATTTTTTACCTCCTTTGAAAAACAGTTCAACTTAGCCTACGTTAATTCTTTTTTTCTTCTTCTAAAATAAACATCGTGTACACAAACTTATAACAACAAACCGTTTGTTTTTAGTTTTTATTTTCCAAATGTACATAATGAATAATTATCCCGAAGAGTGTCAAGACAAGTTAACGTATTTTAGTTTGTTCTTGATCTGATGATTGATGTACTGGATCAATGCTGACTGGCGTATTGTACAAAGTAAATAGTTTGTCGATAGTGACTCTATGGATTGACAATGCGTCCACTCCGTGGGGCAACAAGTCAGCGTGCTCGCGACCTACACACATGTGTATCATTTTTAATTCTGCTTTTTTTTTTTGGGGAGTGGCCTAAAGTTGGGAAACAAGACTCAGCTAGCTTCCGATCCTCCATTCTCTGGTGTGCCACCACCCCGCTGGCCTGAACTCTCCACCCACTAGGGATCAGGGCCTCCTCCTAATCTAAATAAATTTGTTTCTTGGGCTAGAGATACTTTATTATTATTATTTGCCTTCCCTTCAATTTTGGACGCTACAATTCTTTTTTTTTTTATCATCAGACTTCTTTTTTCTGGCTGATCGTAATTTATATTCATACCCCCAAAAAAGCTGAATTTCTCTAGACTTCAGCGTATAAGGTTCAGCTGCTAAATTTGAGCCTTGGGAGCACCCCGAACCGAGCCCAGCAGCGTGAAGCGTGTTGTTCTGGCATGGGCAGGTGATCGTCAGCTTGAGTTCAGGAATAAGAATTTACATAGTCTTGCATGCATATCTATATATCTATTTATTCGTTTTTTTTTTTTTTTCTTGCTTGTTATTACCATCTTCATCGACTTTCAGCTGTTGAATATTTACGGTTTGTTTGTGGTTGTGATCTAGGCCTTCCTCCGCTTTCTTTCTTTCTTTCTTTCTTCTTCATCTTTTTTGACTTTGCTTTTGCTTTTGGTTGATTGGTTGATTTTTTTTTTTCTTTCGAGAGTTGTAAAAAAAGCGATCAACACCCAAATCCCTTATCTTGCACTTTCCTCCCATTGATCGTGCATGCACCCACCACCCCGCCTGCCCTGCTGACTACCTTGCCTTCTCCCCTCTCCTCCATCCCCCACCCTTCGATTGAGTCAACTCCCCCCCCTTTCTTGTTCTGTCCAGCTGTTCCCTATCCTAAACAGCCTTTTCATTCAATCTCCCATCCCCTTCAATCAACCCCAAACGCTCGGGTGGCCCGAGCTTGCCTGATTTAATATCCTACTCCAACCCTTTCCTTTCCCTCTGTCTTTCTCAACACACCACTCCCCCTTGTTGTCTGACTGAGGGTTTTTTTTTCGTTCTTGGAGTGAATTGAGTCCGATCTTACCGCTGTATTTATGTACAGGCTCTTCGTCCTATTGACTGGTCTTTAGTCGGTTTGGCTTTTGGCTTGTCATTCATTATCATCACAGATTCAATACACTCCAGCTGCAGTTCAAAATCTCCTTCACTGTAAGGTTGCAGTTCAGTCATCCCATTCTGACAGATTCCTGTAAGCATTAATTTTTACTCCCTTCACTCCACACCTCTTCGCTGGCAAGACTTCGCTTTTTCCTATTTGAAGGGGGGGCATCCATCAGACATCGTATGTTGTGTATGGTTCCTAGTGGTTGTTTCGCTCGTCCTGCTTGCATTCGATCATTTCCAACTGACAGCCGCTTGGACCTGGGCTAGCTACCGCCTTCATATATAAATTAAAAGCGCTCTGAACCTGCCCAGTGTCCACGCTCATCATCCCTCCGCACGCCCGTTCCTCCCGTTATAATTCTATTGACAGTATCCTCTTTACGTTATTCTTATTTTCCCTATCATCATCATCATCATCAATACCGCCCCCTGGGTTATGTATCATTATCTATTCCAGATAGAATTGCTAATGTTGATCCTTCACCTCTAATATTCTCCATCTAGGTTTCAGTCCCCCCCATAAAAATTATTAAATCCTTGCCTTAAGCTCTCGCTCCCCACCCTTCACTTCCCTTGCCTCCCTTCAACTCTCTCTCCCCGTATCAGTTCCACTACAATCTCTACGCAGCTCTTCAAAAAAAAAAAAAAGAAGAAAAAGAAACACCCCTTGAGTCTTCCTTCGCTACCCTCACAGCATCTAGGATGGACTCGCTGCAATGCTTGTCGGCCTCCCCCCTCATCGAGGCCAACGCTGCAATCCCTTCCCATCTTCATCCCGTTGCCTTGCGCTCAACCACTTCAGCCACTTCTCCTAGGATTGCCGCTGCTTCAAAGCTTGTTGAAGCCCAATTGAGGGCCTCCCATGCTTCCTCCCCCAGCATATGTGCGTTCACCATTCTTTTTTCAGTCTGTTTGTGCTTGATATTGGGATATGCGTTTCGCCGCGTTTACCCAGATGGCATGTAATCACTATCCGGTCTGATACAACAATCACTCGTTTTGTAGCTGCATCCAGTGTGCCTTCTCCTGCCGAGGAATCACAGCTACCGGACTCGTCACCCGACACCAAGCTCAATTCCTCCTCTACCGCGGCTTCTGGCCATTCATCTAGACCGGGACTGCTCTTACATGATGTCGCTGGGCTCACGATCGAGAACCACACTGACGATGAAACTAACAGTCGAGCCCCAGACGCTATAGCCGGTCTTCAACTAAACTCCAAACGCTTCCCCCTTCTCTCGTCTGTCCGAACCCCTCAGGCTGCGCGCTCTGCACCTGCAGACGATCCCACTCAGTCCATCCGCATGGTCAGTTGCGCCGAATTCGCTGAGATACATGACGCGTATATGGCCTCGGTCTCGCGAGTCGACGAGTCCGCGGTCTTCCCATGGCTCCACTGCTGTGGGGTCCCAGGCACCCCTCAAGCTGCCTACTTCTCCGAAAGTCCTCATGCTAGAAATGCCCCTCGCTACAGGGGGTTGACCATCGTCTCTGCCGACTCAGAACCTGCGCCGCGCTCCATGGCTCGAGCCAGTCCTATTGCCTCCGTCAACACCACCGATTCCTCCTTTGAATCTAAAACGCGTGACCGTGCCCGCACTCGATCGCTTGGAGCCTCCTCAACAAAGAGTTCCACAAGTCTCGAAAGCTCTGCTACTGCCTCCACAAGTAGTAGTTATACCGGCATAGATTCAGTGGCCACCACACCCACTTCACCATCTACTAGTGTCGTCTCCTTTGATGGTCCTGAGCCCCGTGCCTCCCTCCTGCGCTCTTCACTTTTGCCACATGACATCCTCGAGAGATGTCCACATTCTGGACAATACATGGGTTTCTTTGCCTCCCCTCGCCTACCCCCAACAGTCAACCTCAGACTGTTTCGTCAACAGCCCTCCCGTTATGCTACGATCAGCGACATCGTAGTCTACTCTGAGGCTGGTATGTCTGACGATGCAATTGCATTGGCCCAGTTGATCCGGATTGCTCAAGATCAATGCTTTCACAGCCGAGGTGGACACGCAGCGAATGCGATCGAATACAATGTCTATATCGTTTCTGAACCGTTTGAGGTCTTCGAACGTGACTTTGGTCATGTCGTAGCTGTCGATGGCTGGGGTTATCGTCGCAACAAAATTGACTTTTTTGAGCGCGAGCGAGAAGAAATGGCCGCTTTGACGAGAGCTACCGAGATTTCGGATAATGTTTGGGTGAGTTGGCATTTTCTGATAGTTACATATTGAAACATTTTGCCATTATTTCTGACATTCCTTGTATCCGAGCAGCTTGGTAATTCTGCAGATGTCCCCCTTCCCAAAGAAGACGCATCAACCTCATGTCATCGCGCTGCGTTTGATGAACGCCCACCAACTGTGACCTCTCATCTTGCCAAGGCAGATGAACACGGGAATGCCCCTTTTGATGTGTGCATCGAAGCGCACGACCAAGCGGCAATCACTTCATCGCTCCAATTCCATCTCAACCAAAACTATCTCGATCGCATCAAACAACGCGCTAAGAATGACAACGATTCTGATCTCGCTGAGATCATCCACATGGAGGTGCCCAGCACCGGACAAAGCTGCTCTGGCGCCTTGTCCCGGGACAAGCTAGTCCGCTACTTGGTTGACCTGTGCGCTTGGGTTAAAAAGATTGCTAAACCGGCCGACACTCCGGGCCGACTTGGTAGAAAAGTTTTGATTCACTGCCACGATGGATAGTGAGTTTAACAGCCTCTCCCTCCTCCTTTTGAGTACCCATCGCTGATTATGTTTTCCTCTTTCAGTACAGAGACTTCGCTTTTTGCATTATCGTACATCATGTACGACCTTGGATGCACATTGCCTGAGGCATACCTGCATCTTCAAAACGACCAGAATCGCTCATTCTTCGTTTACCCAGCCGATGTGCCGCTCTTGCGTCGAGTGGAAACTCGCATAGAGCAAGAGCTGACTGAGCAGCGCAAAGCCCAGATGCATCGGATGACGATCGATGAGCCCAGTAGAAATTTATTTTTGCGTGGATGTGTGTCTTTCGGCACCTCCTCCGCCCAGCATACCAAGTCGTCGGTTACCCCGCCACTCACATCTTGCGCCCCATCCACCCCACGGCCAGCTCGCTCGCAGCATCCCTGGTTCTACGATTCCCGCTTTGATGGCCACTTTCCTTCCCGGATCCTGCCATTTGTCTATCTTGGAAACTTGAACCATGCGTCCAACGCGTTAATGCTCAAAGCTCTTGGAATCACTCATGTGGTTTCCATGGGCGAGTCAGCCTTGGTCCCTCCCCCGCAAAACTCCCGCTTCATCTCGCCTTTTACCAATGCGAGTCAGTCGAATGTGGTGAACTCCCTCTGGCACGAATGTGCTAGCGGCCAGATCGATGTGCTGGACATGAAGGGAGTTGCGGATGACGGGATTGACTCGATCAGGCCGCACATCGAACGCGCGATGGAGTTTATCGAAAAGTGTCGACTCGCTGGCGGAAAAGTGCTGGTGCACTGTCGGGTGGGCGTCAGTCGCAGCGCGACGATCGTGATTGGATACGTGATGAAACATCTCAAGATGGACCTTGCATCCGCTTACCTCATGGTTCGCTCCCGACGCCTCAATATCCTCATCCAGCCCAACCTTCTCTTCATGTGGGGACTCAAACGGCTCGAAAGCGACATGGTGGCTAATGCCAAACCTCACAAGGATGCCGAAGATTCAGACTGCCAGGCCAATCACTTCGAGCTCCGTAAACGCAGGATGTTGAGCTGGAGCTTCCTGTCGCGAGAAATCGCTGATCTGAACCATCGATATCTCTGCTGAGATGACATTGATGCCTCTAATTACGATCTCACTTATCCTCTCTTATCGTTTGGCTATTATAAGGCTTAGGTGCTAGTTCTCCTTCTACGTTTTGGCCTTCCTTTTCAAATTCCAAGAAAACTTAGTGGACAGTAAATGATAGTATTTGTGTTGTACCCCCTCTCTTTTATTTAAGTTGCCAGTTTTGTATTAACACAAGTGATCTTTGCTTCATTTAACTTTCTTTGCCCTTTTTTCCTTTCCTTTCCTTGTGGTCAGCTCAAGTCCGATGATTTGTTTCCTTCATCTCTCCTCCTCCTTATATTTTTATGAATTGAATCTGTTTTTATCAATGGCCTGTCCGTTTGAGCCATGTATCAACCCGATTCATTGTTTCCTCATGACTTCCTATCTCCTGTGATTCGGTTGTTTCTCTTTTGTCAAGCTCACAAGATGCCTTTGTATTAGTGAAGTATCTGTGCTTGTTTGACTTTGTTATTTTTTTCATTTTCTATTCATGCAAATCTGATACGCCCCCTTGAACGTACATACTCTTTTTTATGATGTGTGTTCCTTTTTCTTTACTTTGACTTGACACCTCTCTCACAATCCCTACTCTTCTTTTTTTACACATACACTTAATCCTGATCTATTCAGTTGCTTTGTGGGCCACAAAAGAACTGAAACTGAAGAAAAAAAAAACAATACTTCAGTTAGGTTTGAGTTGTAGGATCTGGTTGGTTTGTGAAAACACTTAACTTCTGACAAGTTGAACCTTTTACCCCAGTGTGTCAGTTTCTCTTGGCTAATTATTAACTAAACTCTCAAGGAGATTTATAAATTTTATACCCCATGTAATCGATGCAATCCATAATACATATAGTGTGTTTTCTTTTCATGGATGGTTGGAGACTCCAACTTTTTTTGTCTGTGATGTTTGTCCAATGAGTATGTACTTCACTGCATACATATACAACACACACTTTGAATTGGGGCTGGTGAAAATGGAATTGGACGAGATCTGACCTACAACTTGTGAGCCAAAGTCAAGCCCCAAAGTTGATGCAATCTTCTTGCTCAAGATTGGGTTTGCCACATCTTACATACAGACCAAAAAAATCAGCCAATGTTATTAATGTTTGATGATCTTTCCTGAAATTGGCTGTGAATTAGTTCAAGATCATGAGGTCATCCAAATGACTTAGGGAGTTGGAAATCCAGTTGTTAACTTGGGACTGTACAACATTGTGTGTGTGGCCATAAGTCACACTACAATGTAGCAGCCCAGTGCTGATTAGACCTCATGCAGGAAAAAATGATTTGTGCATGGATAAACCTTATGAAAAGAGAAGAAAACAATTCAGTGAAATTGATGTGAATATCTTCAATTCAGCCACTATGCTATGATGTATTTTAGGGCCAAAAAAGTGTGAGTGCAATGGTCTCAATTTGGGTCTGACACTGGTGTGATAGCATGAGCAAGTGCTGAGCCATGTGTTACAATGTGTGAATCCACTTCCAGTGAAGGAGCCAATCAAAAGTAGAATGCATGTCAAGGGTGACATCTTCTTTAAGGTAGGGAGGGAGGAAGTGTTTTTTGTTTTTGTCTTGCCTCTCTCTCTCTCTCTCTCTCTCTCTCCTTCTACTATTGATGAATTGCAAGTGAACACTAGAATTCATCACATTTTGAAATAAAGGGAACAACAGATGGAAAGTTTGTTTTAATGCTGCACCCAATCTACTGTGAAACGGGTTGAAAATTGATGGATGTGAGCAAGCTTGAGAATTGACCCGAAAGAGTACATTATAATTAGAGGTGTTTTTTTTTTTTTGAAAACGTTTCTTCCAAGTATTTTGTCTACCTTCTAGCGGTTAAGTTGAAAATTGTCCGTTTTTGAGCATGGATATGACCTCATCGGGCAAAAAGTTATCAGGACAAGCAGCAATGATCTATTATTCCAAACCCCACAAAAAGCAGAGAGAAAGAATTGGGTCAATTCCGATATTTAGATATCAAAGGAAGGAAATGAGGTGAAGGAAAAAGGAGTGACCTTTTCGGAGATTTGTTGGCCGCCAGTTTCCCAACTGATGCCCAAGATCGGACAGATGATCTGAAGCAAAAGGTGATGGACCAAGAGATACTTAAAGTCCAAAGGAAGGATGGTATTACTGCTAATACTCTTCTGATCGAGCCGTCTAAGATCACCGAGATCGTCCTCCTGATCGCCATCGATCCAATAATTTTTCCCACAGAATTGCTTCCATCGAATGCCTTGTTTGAACAGCTTGAAAGACTTGTTGAGGAAGCGTTGACGAGCTTGGATGCCTTCGACTCCGACTTGACTACGTAACTTGTCGTTCAACTCTCGAGGGCTACCGACTAGCCGTTTGAGATCATGGATCGAGCTCCGGAAGCGGTCCAAGAAACACTTGATCAACTTATCGTAGGTCGGGTTGCCCTCGGTTTCCACGACATAGCTCACTTGTTCTGCGAGCTGGAGACTTTTCGTGGTCGCTCGGGTCGAGAAAGGGTCATATGAAGACTTGATAATCGGCAGCAACAAAGGAATGACAACCGTCGAAATCATCGCTGCGATCACTGATTCTTGAGGATCGGCCGAGTCGGCTTGGGAGCCAGATTGGATCTCATGCTCGTACCTTTCTAGTCCCCTCATCCATTCCCAGTTCTCGATCCCCCTCTTGTCTTCACCTTTCACCCACTCACGCAGTCCCCATATGTTGAGCCCACTCACGATCTCCACCCGGACCCAAAACTCCCAGGCTTGAACGAGGGCCAGGTTCCCGAAGGCGTTCCCATATTCCTCCGGATATTTCGATCTCCAACTCATGAATCTATCGAAGATCGAGCCCGGATGGGTCGGCGAGAGGAAGACTGGATTGGTGATGTCGAGCAGGATCGCTCTACTGGAATCATAAAGAGATTTCGAGGCGGACATGAGATCAGATGAATCGGCCGGTGAAAGGGAATCATCGGTCGAGAAACCTTCGTCGTCTTCCTCGACCGTGTGCTCAATGGATGCCGCTGCAACTCGTCGCTTTCGCCTGTGAGCTCGGTCGTTCCGTCTGGATGTACGTGACGGGGCGTGTGGGGAGATATCGAGTTCGGGACGACTACGACCTAGTTCATCAACTTCGCTCTCCTGCTCCGCCTTGCTTGGTTCAGATTCTTCATCCCTTGACGATGGTTTTGTTGATGATGGTCGAATCACGCCAACCTCTCCATCCTTAAACAAAACCAAATCATCCGAGAGATCTTCATACCTTCTCTTGGAGATCAGCTCTGCCCTTTCTTTCAGAATACTAATCAGATCCTGCTCGACTTTCTCAAGTTGAGGCCATTTCTTGGTGAAGAAGAGGTCGATCTCTTTGACGAAGCTATTCAACTCTTCGAAGAAATCGGCTCGTTGAGCCTCTCGACTGACTTCCTGACGGAGTTCAGATTCTTGATCGGCAAGGTTTTTTTCCTCGGTGGTGAACTGGAGAGCGGCTGCGGATTGTTCTGCTACAGACTCCTCGAGGAGATTGAGTAAGTTCAAGAGCCCACTTTCGACTGATGCAAGTGAAGCAAGAGGGGTATGTTCAGGGATCGGTGCAGGTTTGTAGATCTCCGCCTTCCGCTCATTTGTCGTCTTTTCGGCCGAGCTGCCAATCCCACCCCGACGAATCTGAGCGGCCTCCCACTCCATCTCTTCCTCATTTCCTTCGTGAAGATCTACCTCAGCGTCCATAATCATTGCTTCCAACCCCGCCTTCTTGCTTGCCTCGGCTGCCAGTCCGGCCTTTTCACCCAACGGAACCCTTTCTTTCGCCCCAGTGAATTCTGCGTGCTCGTCATCTCCTTCCCCAAACTGATCATCCTCGCGCACTAGACGCGACTCTCCATTTTTTGTCGCCTGGAAAGGTAGGACTGAGCTTGGCCCCGCAGAAAGTGAGATGAAATCTTCGGATGAGCTTGGTTCAGATATCAGCAGATTTGATGTTGACTGATGGGAGAGGCCGATCTTGCGCGCCTGTGATCGACGCTCCTTTGCCGAGTTGATGAAATTGGATGTAGGGATGTGAACCGATTCGTTACTGGAAACAAAACTGATATCCTCGTCTTCCAAAGCGTGATGGCCTGTGAATTTGGAGCGGATCAGGTCGTCATCCCCCGTATATTCATTCGATCTGCCAGGTACACTTGACAAGGTGAGCGACTTGAGTTCATTCAAATGGGCCGTCGAGTAGGTAGGTCTGGAAGATTCGGATAGCTGCCGAGAGAGTGGCGAACCCTCTATCGATCTTTCACTGTGATCGGATAGTGAAGTTTGGGTGGAACACTTGTTAGCAAACGTTGAGATGTTAAAAAAGGGTGGGATGAACTTCTTACTCTGAGCTGAAGTTATTTAGACTTGTATGAGAGCCGGGCCTGGCCAGTTTCCTGCGTGACGAAGATTTAGAAGAGTTATTGAGATCGAATGATTCGTCCTGCGCGTTGATTGATGATGAACAGTTCGTTTGATCTCAATATCCTATCAACGTTTTTTGTTCTTTTTTTTCCGAGTTGATACGATTGACAACTGAGTTTCATCGTTGGTTGAATGAGATTGAAGTGAAACTAGGGACTGACCGTGACTGAGCCAAGAGAGAGTCTGGATTGCTTTGATTTGGTTGGGGTTGATTTGAGGATCGATTTCTTTGAGACTCGTGAGATGACCGTGTTCCCATCTTCTTCGTGTGTCTGTTGGTCGATAGGATCCTCTTCGATCGTCGTCTTGGTTGATGATGCTGCTGAGCTGGTTCGAAGGCTGGCTTTGTCCTTATTCCTTGTGGATGATGATGCTTTCTTCTTCTTGAATATTGGTAGTACCAATGTGCCATCGTTTGAGTCTTCCTCCATCTGCGACTATCTCTTGTTGCTCTGTTGGTTGGTTGGTTCTTCTTGGTTTGTCGTTGGTCCTACTAGAGTAAGGGTGCGGTCAACCGTCAACCTTCTTGTGCATTTGACCGGTTATTACCCGGTCAGCAGCATCCCCGAACCACTCACCCGGTTGAACCTCACACCTCACAAAAAGCCAATAACACAATAACACCAGTTTGGAAGAAACAGGCGAAGACAAACCACTGGAGCTCGACTATCTCCATCAACTGATATCCTGTCAGTTCGATATCAGCGCACCTGAAACTGCCATTGAAGATGAGCAGCAATCTGCTGAACCAAGAACCAGTGCAGAACCATCTAGTTCTGCCAAACCCGACCCAGAAAACCAAGGCAACAAAGTCGGTAGGAACAACTTGCTCTGATTCCTTGGTCGAGGTCTTCATTTCTGTGACTGAAGCAAATATTCGCGGGGTTTTTTTTTTCTTTCTTCTTGGGTGTAGCTTTTAAACTTTTCTCTGGACAAAATAACTTGCAAATCATAGACCTAGGTACCAAAAAACTAGAAAAGGAGGACCCGGAAAATTTGCCACCTGAAGTTTTCATTCCAGTACATAGAGAGAATCCTGTAAGACTGTCTTTTCTTTCATGAAATTTTCAGCATGAGAACTGACAAAAAAAAGCAATCCAAATTTGAATCAATGCCAGTGATGTTGCAGACGAGCCCAAGTACAAGAGGAAGCTAAAGGGGGAAGCAAATCGCTAGTGTTGCGGTCCACCTAGCAGGGATCCGTGAAATGGCCAAGCAGATCACAGTAAGTATATCTGAAGAAAGCAATCCGCAGCCGAGGAGAGAAATATCATCTGATGAGTAAAACCACATTTCAACCATAAATGCGAAAGGAAACTCCCATCATATCGGGCCATGAACCAATCACTTCTTGCCCCAAGTCCCCTGGGGATCGTAGATCACGTCAAGAATTCTCCGCCTCAGGTGCTGCCATCCACCTCGACCACCACGGACGCAATCAAATATCCTAAACGGCGGACCCTTCCGATCCCCATCAAAACAGCTCATGTTTCGTCGATGGTGCTTGCTAAAACTGAGAAAAGAAAGCGCAGGAGAGAACGGCAAAGGTATCGCACTTCAAATCGCAGTCAAGCCAGTAGTACCAAATTTGTCACTTGGAATCTGAATTTTGTTTTGCTTTTATTTGCTTCTATGTACCAAGAAAGGATGCCTTCAATATTTTTTTTGTTTCGCCTAAAAATCATATGCATATAAACAAATGAGACGTGGGATTTGCATGTCTGTTTCTTTCTTTCCAGAACAAGCACATGTTGGAGCTTCTTTCATGCTGGCTGCTCATTATGGTCATGTGGACCTATTCTGTGTGAACGCTTGTCAGACATTTGTTTATCAAATGAGTCAGACAAAGGCAGGTGTTTTTCGCGAGTGGGAGAATGGTATTTCATGACACAAGGTCATAGATTAATGATATTTCCGATAAGTAGAAGAGGATGTAATGGGATTAATTAATACAAGAGCAGCCGGCAAAGATGATAGAGATTTCGAGGACAATTGTATCATCTAGAAGAGGGACACGACTCGATTTATTCCGGGATTTGGAAGACCTGTTGTGACCTTCTAACGGGCCTAGGAGGAAGATCCTTTGGCTTCTGGGCCTGCTTAGGTACATCAGCTTGGCCGAGAGGTCCAGTTGAAATCTCGAATTGGATTCCCTCGTTGGTAGGGGACTTGGGGGGAACCCAAGGTGAAGGTGATTCGCTTCTCCCTGAAAGAACATAATCGATTGATGACAGTGAGCTTCAATTCGACCTTTTAAAGAAATCATCTATAAGGATCACTTACTCAATCGTCTCTGGGCTTTGGCCTTACCAGCAGGTGGCGGGGTAACTGTGAGAAAGATATTGTTGGTGAGATGATGCAGACCAAAGGTACTAGGAGATAGCAGACTCACTCGGCGGCTTGGTATTGTTGGTTTGTCCATTTCCACCGTTGTTATCGGTCAAACCGCTTCCATCGAGGTTAGTACCAAACGAGGTCGATGCGGGTGTGCTTCCAGTGGCAGTGGAGATCCGGGATACTATTATTCATCCAGAAAATAAAGTCAGCACAACTGGAAGAATCTTGGACTCGTGGAGTGCAATTTACCAGGAGGATAGACAAGCAGTTGTCCAGTCGGGGTTGCAGTCTGACGTTCAATGAGCGATCGCCTGGTTGGTGACAGGTTCAAAGGGATGACCTTCTTGGCGACTGCGAAGAGTATTAGGTTAGTATGGATGCGCAAGTTGTATCTGGGAGTCGACTGTGAGCTTACTAGGCATGACGATCACTTGCTGAGGATCGTTCTGTGCTTTCTCTGTGCAAGGTCAGAGAAACGGGGTAATGAGCCTTTGAATGTCAAACTGATAACTCGAGACCAGTGGCACATACGTTTCAAAGCTTCGAGTGCTGGGCCGAACAAGTCGGCATCTGAGGGAAGCGGGGTAGCATTGTCAGCGGCACCTGCTTTCTGGGTAAAAGCTAGACAGCCTCCGAATGGACCAGCTTTGGCTCCCTAAATTATTTATAATGACCATGATTTCCCGAATCAGTGATCAAATAAAACATCGACTGTATCTTTCGAGAACCAACTCACATTCAAGCATCTGATGAGACAAGTTTGCTTATCACTTCCACCGGTACAGATCAGATCTTTGGGCATCTTTGCCACGAGAGGAAGATCGATGGCTCGGGCGTCTGACCGTCCGTTGGCGCCAGGAATGTTGACTTCAATCGGAATCGGAATGAATCTCTCTCCCGTCGCTCCAGTGTCAACGGCGCAAGAGTATGGCCCTCCACCTGCAAACAGAAGTATGCTCAATTCACAGGGACAAGAAGGGGCAAGAAAAATGTACGGCCACTATGACTTACCATCGGCGTTAATCTGGTGGGTCGTGATGGTGATCCGACCTCCGGGAGCGAGATCGGGTAGACCTTCATTCTCGGCTATGAAAGGCAATTGGATCAATTTAATGACGATTTGCTGAGAGAAATTACAAGGAGGCAAGGCATACCTTTTTGAAAAGCGACCTTCATGTCAATGGGGCCCATCAAAGTACGTCCACAAACGCTTGCGAGTCCCTTGTCGATGTCTCCTTGACGAATGACACCGCTATCGGCTTGGAATGGGAAACGACTAAAAGCGGAGGAAGAGGTGTCAATAGAAGAGCATGAAGTCAAAGGAGGTACGAAGGAAACGCTACTAACGCAGTGCCATTTCGAGGGACTCCTTCCATTTCGCCGAAGGATGTGCCCCTGTATCCGTTGGTTTCGCCCATCATACTGACCATGGTCAAGTGGGCATTGACTTGCAATAGGGACAGGCAGGTCATGGCGGTCAAAGTGAAGATTTGGACGGAAGCCTTCATGATGCGAATTCGATTGGATTGAGTAAGGGTGATGATGATTGAGGGAGGAGAGAAGATAATGATACTGAATTAAATAAGTGACAGGTGAAAGGTGAAGGAACTATAACTTAAAGGGGATACAAATAAATACTAATTTGGGAGCACCAGGCTCTGAAGATAAGAAAGAAGAGGGTTGAACCACGTGTAAGGGATGGATGCGGATGAAGAGAGTCTGGGAAATGGGAGACGAGAGCCGACTTTTATAGGAAATCGGACAGCCATAATCCTATGATATAGGCCAACGGACATGTTGAACTGAGGCTGAGCTATTGGTTTGGCTTGGTCTTAGTGTTGGACTAGCCACGTCGAGGTTGATAAGATACCGGTTGAGACCGCCAGGGACCGGAGGAGTTGGGCGTTGCGGCCTGTGTCTCTTGCAAGTGCTGAGCGACGGGCTCAGCGTCTGGTCAGGTTGACTAGTCCGGCCCTCTAAGTCTGGCCGTTCGACTTCTAGCAGTCCAATATCCTATCGTCGACGCAACCGTCAGTTGTCTGAGAGGAGATGAAGCACTGGACTTCTTCTGGCTCATCGTACTTCCCTCAGCGGGTTGACCCCGTGCGCGTCCTCTCTGCGAGGCCGAACTAAGCTTTGGGGCCCGGCCGCCTCCCGAACCGAGACGAAGCCTCTCAAGTCTGAGAGCTCGGAGTGCAGCTGGGCAGGGTCAACGGACGGGAGCTCGCGCTTTGTGTCCCCGCTTGCTTGCCGGCAAGCGGGATTGGTTTCATAGTTTGCCTGCTTCCAGAGTCCTCGAGGCTCGGCAGGGCTCGGTTACCACTCGGCGTCGGATTGGATGCGCTTGAACGCCGATCCCAGATTCTCCGGAAGATCTCCTGCTCCAGGATCCGCGGCTTGTACGGCCAGTGACGTGTGTGGATGAAGAGCTGCTCAAATGAGTCTAACGCTCCTTGAGAGTTGCTTGCAGCCCTTGAAAATTGATCCGTCACAATCCTTACCAGATCTCCTCTATGTGACTTCATAGCTTTGGCTCGATTGTTTGGCTTGGACTCATTGGCGTGCCCTTTGATCGCCCTCCATAGTCAGGAGCGATGGCGGTACGCAACTTGGCTATAAATCCAGCGCCATTGAGCTGGCCCCCTTCATCATCCAGACATCCACCTGCCCCATCAAGCACGGAGTCAGCAGCCTTCGTTCTTCACTACACCGCCAAGGAAGCCCAACCACGATTGCCACGAACCTATTCGAGTTTCACTTCAGCCCACACAGGTATAAAACCTCGTCGGAACGAATATCGGCTCAAGAAATGGCGTTCAAGAACCTCGTCATCCTCGCTGTCTTGATGTCAATGATGATAGGCTCGGCTATGCCCATCTCATACCCCACCACAAGATTATTATCGATCAGAGTGCGTGATGAAATCTTATCTAACATGAGGCGAGACACCGGCCTGAACCAAGCTGAATTCTATGTATGTATAGGGCACGGAACAAGCGTCGAGCCTGTCGAATGGAGCAGAGCAAGCTGCCACTGCAAGCTCGGGAGGGCAAACGAAAACGGACGACTCGAGCATGGAGATGCCGAAGACTCAGCCTGAGCCGCCCAAGACAACTCCCTTGGATGACAGAGCACCCACGGAGAGTGACGAGTCTCTTCATAACGCGGCTAGCAAGACTCAGAAGCCCGAGAGCCCTGCTGGTTCCTCCCTCTCCTCCAGCAACAATACATCGACTGTCCAAGAAGCGTTCAAGCCGAGCAAGGTACGTCAATACTTGCTTGTCCTAAATCCCGTTATAGGCTAATCTGCTCGAGGCTGATCTCAATGGTTCACATCTTTCACTGATCTATAGCCTACCAACACGGCGGCCTCTTACCTCCAATCAATCAAACTTCAACTCGTCGCCTATTGGTCTGCAATTTGCTTCTTTTCCTTAATTGCTTGATTCTTCACCCTTGCGCATAACCCCCCCCTCTAGTCTTGTAAAAAATGTATTGTTGTAAGAATATCTTATCTTGTAAACGATGCTCATAGATCAAGAATTGGCTATATGAAAATGATTGAAACTCCTACATTATCATAGAAGGAATTCAGACATAGAAGGAATTCAGATGATGAGATTTGATTTTTTAAATGACCTGAGATATGCCCTCTACATGTGTGTTGATGTAGAAGTCTACAATGGAGGACTTCCTGTCGCAATTTACAGCAACTGACAAAGTCACAATACCTCAAACCCCGAACGAGATAATCATTGACATGAGGGCTTCAAAGTAAGTGTTTCTTATGGTCAAAACTCAGGGGTCAATGTGTGTAAATTTGACTAAGAGGGGGGCTGCAGATGCAAGAGGAAGCCCTCCTTGTCAAAAAGGTCTCAATGTTGTGGAGCTCAGCGAGGCAGGACCGGTCAACTGAAGCAGAATGACTGCGTTGATCAGTTGACCTAAACTTCGAGAGGATCTACATGGACTTGCCCCTAAATAAAAGCTCTTGGTTCAAGTTAACAGACACATGCTCAGACAGTCAAGTCGAATGGGGGCAAGAGGGGCTCAAAGAGGACTTGATCGATGTAGAGCATCGGTTGAGGGTGCCAAGTGGCCACTGGGAGCGAGTGGGGCACAACATGCTTTCAATAGACAGAGGGTGGTGTGGGCCAAGGTTGAAGTATTGAAATTGCACGGGAGACCACAAATGAAGGAGTTGATCACCAGCTGCCGGTAGCAGGAGCGTCACCGGCGGGAGCACCACGGCCGATCCCAGCGAATCGAGGACGGAAACCACCGTCGGCTCCAGACTCCTTTTTGCGGTATCCTTCCCGATCGCCACCGCCTTCGCCTCGTGGGGGTCGGTAGGCTCCGCTCGATTGCGCTGGACGGCCCGCGGGGGTGGCTCGTTGGACTTTCTTGAAGGTCGCCGGGACAATCTCCGAGGGTAGGTTGAGCCTGATCATACGAGGAATGGTTTCTTGTTTTCAGCTCTTTTCTCTTGGGGTTTTGCGATCCACTCTCTCTTGTGATTTTTTAGGTTCACTCACCATTCTCGCAAGTATTCAATACCCTCATCAGTTAAGGTGTAGTAGTAAAACTGTTTTTTTTTTTTTGAAAGCACAAAAGAAGACAATCAGCAACTTCAATTGACGGTTTTCTCATTTTCTTTTGAGAGTATTTTGGTGATCGATTTGAGCAGAAAGGGACGCACCTTCCAGGAGAATTGAGTCTTGATCAATCCACGCGAGTTCAAGGATTGGCAAGCCTTGATGACGTACAAGTTCTTGACATCCAATTCGACGTGTTTGGGAGCGTCGTAGTCCTTCTTGGCGACCATCACGCCATCTTTGAAGAGGTTCTCATAGATCGTTCGGCGATCTTCTTTGGGGATAATCATTCTATGTAAATGTACATTTTCCAAAACAAGAAAAAAACGATCAATTTCCTTCAGGTTTTCTTTCGTGAAGAACAGCAGACGAGAGAGGGAGATGTGTGGTTTGATTGGGTGGGTGTGTAGACTGACCTGGTTGATGATGTTGTGACCGGGATTGGCGAGGAGGGGGTCTCGACTGACGTGGGGCGAGCGGCTTTCTTCGGTGTGGTTTCCTCGGGCTGGGAGGGACTTGGTGGACGGCCAGGGGGATTTGAGGTACACAGTGTCAAGCGGTCTCACTATTTGAAACCTAACCGTTGTCCGCTGACCTCGGCGGACAGCTCAGTCGACGTCTCGCCCGATCTTCTCGGGGGTGCAGGCCCTGATGCCCCGTCCCCTCCCCGCTCCCCGGGTGATCGAGTCTCTAACTTAACTTTGTGGTTGGTTCTGGCAAAGTTACAGATGTTACAAAAAGTGGATTTTTTTTTTGATGTTGTTGACCTGCAACAAGGTTTGCCCTCCATCACTATTGACGATCACAAGGACGCTCAGAATACCGACTCGACTCGAAGCTCGTCTATCCAGACCATCACTCACCACCTCACTCTCTTCCTCAACACCCGCCGTCTCAAGAATAACAAGAAGCTTATTTAGGATGGTAGATAGCACAAACCAAGCCGGCCCGACGATTTCGATTTCAAAACAAGAAGAAGAAGTTGGAGTTCAAGTTACAGATCGAGCAGTGGAAGAATCAAATGATCAGAAGAACGGAGTCGTATCAGGACTTGAACACGGAAGAGAAGGAGATACCAACGGAGCAGAAGAATTGAAGAAGAACGGAACAGGAGAAGAGAAGAAAAAGAAGAAGCCGACAGGATACGAGTTCTATCGTGAAGTCTTAGGCTCCCCACGATACGTAGTAGCGCCGATGGTCGATGGTTCGGAGCTAGCCTGGCGGATCTTATCACGCTACTATGGGGCCGAACTATGCTACACACCTATGATTCATGCGGGACTATATTCTGATGACCGCCAGATCAAGTATCGGGTCGAACAACTGGATTTGGATTCCCATGAGGAAGGATCAGAAGGATTAGATCGCCCGTTGATCGTCCAGTTTTGCGCTAATCATCCGGATACACTCTTGAAGGCTGCGAACTTGGTCATCAATCATCCTTCTTCTTCTTCTGATTTTTTGGCTGGGAATATGGATCGGCTCCCCGTAGATGCTGTCGATCTTAATTTGGGCTGTCCTCAAGGGATCGCTAAGAAGGGCAAATACGGCGCTTTCTTGATGGACCATCCGGATTTGATCACTCAACTAAGTAAATCATTTTGGTTTCACCATTGATCTTTCGGTTTGCTGATCAAATTTCTTCCTCGTGGTCAACAAAACATCTAGTTTCACAACTTGACCAACATCTACCGATACCAGTGACGGCGAAGTACAGACGATTTGAGACGCTAGAGAAGACGGAGCAGTATACGGAACGGTTGATTGAGGCGGGGGCCCAGATGTTGAGTATCCATGGTCGAACACGAGAACAGAAGGGCCAGTTTACAGGACTAGCAAATTGGGAGATGATCAGAGGAGCAGTACAACGAGGCCATGCACGAGGACGACCGATGCTCGGGAACGGGAATATCTTGATCGGATCGGATGTGAGTGAGTTGATGAGCCAGACGGGGGCGGATGGGGTGATGGTAGCCGAAGGGAACCTCTACAACCCAGCGATCTTTGCGCCCCTGAACCCGGACTTTATGGCTCGTTACAGGGCTGGTCTTCCGACTCGATTCAAGGTAGCCCTAGCTCGGGTGGATGAAGAGTACGATGATGAGTGTTTGGAGCAGTTGGGCAGCCTGGAGTCCTTGCTCGAGTTCCCGAATGCGACCAAGGTGGCCTCCCAATACCTGGCCATCTGTCGTACCCTGGTCACTCGGACGGCCAGCTCGGCCATCAAGGGACATCTCTATAAGCTCTTTCGCCCGGTCTTTGAGACCGGCCGCTACGACGATCTCCGAGACCGTCTGGCCGAGGTCTCATGGTCCTCCCCCTCGGCTGATCCTTCCTCTGAAGGTGGTTCTTCTAAGAGGAGGGATCGGGATGCCTACGAGGCTATGCTTGATCGGTTCCAGACAATGGTGAGACTGATCAAGGATCGATTGGAGGTGTGTGTGTTGTGTGTCTCTCTCTCTTATAAGAATATGGCTAAGTTTCTCTGTTTGTCTTTTTTTTTTCTTCTAAGGATGATCGCCGGAGTGGAGTTTTAGATGAGGGTCAGATTGATATGAGTCTCAAGCGGGCCGAGGGTGAGTCTACGCCCTCCTTCCTCGGGCGACTCCGAGTGCCCTACTCTCGCTGCCAGCCCTACGTTCGATCTCTGGTTGTGGATGAAAGTGGTGGTGGTGGTGGTGGTGGTAGTACTACTACTGAGTTAGTGGGTTGTGCTACTGAGGGATGTTCCAACTCAGGGGCAGGGAGGTGTGGCTGGGGTCTCTGCAAGGCCTGTTGCTCGACTCGGATGGCGCAGCAGGCAGCCGAGGTGTGTGAGCTCCATCAGAGGCGGGCCGAGCTGGAGGCAGAGAAGCGGAGGATCCAAAGCGAGAGGAGGACGAAAAAAAAGAAAGCCAGACTCAACTAACACAAAACTATGTCAAGAAAACAACCACCACCACCACCACCACCACCGCCAGCAGCAGCAGCAGCAGCACCACTAGAAGAAACCAAAAAACAACAAAAACAACAACAACAACAAAAACTAATCGAAACACTACTCACACTATTCCCAATCACACTCATCATCAACCAACTAAAACAACAACAACCACCACCACCACACAAAAGACAACTGCCCATCAATCTACTCATCTCACTCACAACCATCACCACCATCCTAGCATCAACCACCAACTACTCATACAAAGTACCCTTCACAGACCAGAGAGGATACAGGCAAACTGGCCTCCACCATGCACTCATCCTGGCCATCGGACTACCACTCATCCTATCAGCAACACTCTACATCACCACTACCACCACAAACAACAACACAGCAACAACAACAACAACAACAACTAATCACCATCTCATGGACATCTGGAATCGATCACCTCATCTCAGACACTCCAACACCCTCCACTACGATCACGCCGACTACCACAATGCACTCTCCCTCGCCAGACTAGACCTCCTAGCATTCACCATCCTCAACCTATACTCACTCCTACTCGACATCTCGCTCGCCAGGCTGGGCGAATACTACAACTATCTACCGATCAACAACTCAGCCAGACTCATCGCATCCACCCTCAAGTCACTCTTCATCTCCATCCTCTTCTCACTCGCTCTCAGCCTAGGATGGTGGGGCCAAGCCATCTCTCAGAGTATGACCCCCTTCGAATGTCTCTTCAGCGTATTCACCTTCCAATCATGTCTCTACCTCACCACCAGACTAGCCAGGAGAGCCTTCACCCTAGCCGAATCATCCATCTTCTCCTCAACCGGCGTCGCACTCATGATCGAGGTCATCAGACTCACCTCTGCCAGACTACGCTACTCGGCCTACCTACTCAAACAGCAGCAACAATCTACTCCGATCTCTGACGCCGATCGACTCAGTTTTCTCCCCAGCCTCTTCAGATTCCCTACTCCCGCCATCGCCATCCAACACGTCCTAGTCTCTGGCATCTTCCTCATGGCCTTCACACTCGCACCCTTACTTGTCCTCTCCCGAAGACTCGGCCAACGTCCAACCAAACGCACCAGGCACTCCACTCGTTCTCTCTCCCGTCATCGCAATCGTCCCTCCCCCACAAGGGTAGCAGCCCTCCAGGTTCAGAAAACACCCATCTGGACTAGCGAACCCGCCCAGCCGGACTACTATCAACGCTTCTCCAACCCAGACTCACAGCATCACTCTCGGCAGCATGAGAGCGCCTTGAAGGAGAACCTTCGGAAGATCATTGCACTCTCGATCTACGCTTCGATCACTTGGATCGGATTGGTGGTCATGTCTCATTGGTTAGGCTGGCTATTCGAGATCGGTCGGGATCGTCGGATCAAGCAGGCCTGGTGGAGAAGGATCTTGGGCCCAGGCTGGTTAGGCTTCTTCCGTTACAGCTTCCTAAGCTACCCCGAGGGATACCATCCTGGTGGTTCAAGGAGCATCAGCGATGAGGCTGGTGGAAGCGGACAACAGATCAGGATCCGGTGGACTCGGATCGCGATCCTCATCTATTGGTGGATCTGTCTTGTCCTCGCTATCGGAGGCTGGACCACCTATCTCGTCCGCAAACGAAGGTCCGGCATCAGACATCTTCATCGCAGTCGATCATCCGAGCTCGGCCGATGGTCTGGCTGGGGATCCGCTTGGAAGAATTGGATCGGCTTCCGTCTCTCCAGGTCATCTTCCCGGCCTCGCTCCAACTCCCCTTCAACAACTGCTACTATCCCTCCCTCAGCTACCACTCCGACCACTCTTACTGGCTCGATCAGTTCTTCAATCTTCTCGCCAAGACAGGCCACTCCTCTTTCAACTGAGACCACCACTCACAATCGATCGATCACTCCCACTACTCCTACTTCTGCTTCAGCCAAATGCTCTCCTAGTGACCTGATGGGTAGAGTTGAACAACTCATTCGGAGAGCGTTGCCTTTCTCGCTCAATCCTTCGTCTCCAACTCTATTACCTCCTTCAGCAGACACTCATCCAACCGACCATCCTCACCTCCCACTGAAATCTAAATCATCGCCGTTCATCTCACCTCTTCCTTCTTCCCTATTCTCTTCACTGGGTCGATCATCATCACCTTCATCGATCACCAACCCCCACAAAAAACCCTCTTCAACCTCTTCCTCCTCTTCATCTTCGTCTTCTGCTGCTCCGTCTGCTACTCCTGTCAGTCCTGCTCTAACTGCTTTGACCCCGAATCCGCTTCCCGGAGGGCCGCCTTCTTCGTTGATCGTCGGATCGTTGAAAAGTCAACAGCTTAATTTCAAACGCAAGTTCTTTCATCTGTTGGTGTGTTTTATGTTTATTCCGACGATTCCTATCGACGTAAGCTCGTCTTCTTCTTCTTTTTTTTGTGGGGGTGTGTGCATGCATGTTTGGTGGAAACGAAAATTAATGTAAAACTTTTTTAAAACAAAAAGATCGAGTTTTCTTCCATCTCGTTCTCCGTCGCCTTCGTCATCTTCACGTTTTGTGAATTTGCCAGGTATTTCGCTTTTTATCCGATCGGAGCTGGGATCCATTTATTCTTTGTAAGTGTTCCTAATCCTGTCCTTTTTTCCCCTCTTCTCCTAACCTTGTTTTTTGCTGATTTATAAATTTGATTTTGGGTTTGATGTTATTGAATAGAATGAGTTTATCGATTCTAAAGATTCAGGCCCGGTCATTCTGAGTCATTTTTATCTTTTGACGGCGTGTTCGACGGGGATCTGGTTAGACGGTCTAGTCCCGAATAACAATTCACATAGACCGATGAGAATGATGATGGGAGATGAGAAGAAGGAACAGATGGGCTGGCTGAGCACGATGATCGGAAGCCTGGTCAATCGGTGGTTCGGGATCGGAGTCAAGCAGCCCAAAGGTCTTGGAGCGATGGACGCTGGGTTCGGCATAGGCGGCTGCTCAATCGAGGATCTCATCGGCGTGATCATCTTGGGCGTCGGCGATTCTTGCGCCTCGGTCGTCGGCAAACGGCTTGGGAAGATTAAATGGAACGTCGGCTCTAGTAAAGTTTCGTCTCACTCTCTTACCCCTCCTCATCCCTTCTCTCTTGTTCATCGACTACTATTGGGTGGAAATTCAATTGCTCAATTCATGCTTGCTGATTGGGTTTTGGTTTCCTTTTTTTGGTGTGTGCAGACTGTGGAAGGATCAGTTGCTTTTGTTGGGTCGGTTATCGTCGTCTCTTTGGGCTTGAGAGTGGTTGGTTTGGTCCAACCTTTCCCAGTTAAGCTCTTTCTCCCCCCCCCCCCCCCTTCCCTTCTACTCTTCAAATCGTTTTTTATTTGGTTTTGTAAGCAAAACTGACTTTGTTGATTGTGTATGAATGAATAGATTATCAAATACTCACTTGCAATTCTCTTGGTCTCCCTGTTGGAGGCTTTTACTGCACAAAATGATAATCTTGTCTTGCCGCTTTATTCTTGGTCTATCCTTAAATTACTCTTTCTTTCTTAACACTATCTTCATTTTTTCTCCATTTTCCTTTTTGATTCTAATCTCTTTCTCTTTCATTCATCATCATCACAAAATAAAAACAAGACAAACATATAATATCAACTATCATTTTGTATTTTTTCTTTTCTTTTTTTTGGGGGTTGCACTATATAGCTCGTTGTGTTGGTTTGGATCTTCCTATCTTTTGTTCTTTTCATTCTGATTTTTTTTATTTGTTGGATCTATTCAAAAACACATAATAACTCGCATCCACATCCACTTATATAAGATCTTAATACAGTCAAAACCTTGTAAGGGCTTACCTCTTGGTCACCAGATTTCGTCATGCCCTCAGAGGGGTTATGCCCTGGTGGGAAGTACATTTGCAGTCAAATGACAGATTGGTCTCAGATTTTTCCTATGAAGTTTGGCGGATTATGCCCATAGACCCTTTTCACTGCATCTTCCTTGACATCTGGCTTGGCTGCTTTCAATTTTTGTTTTCCTAACAGCTATCTGTGTTGTATCAATGGGGGGTGTATCAGTGAGATTCCTTAGCTAAATTTACCTTCCCAACTCCTGATGGAACAAAATGGGTTAGTTGATAGGTAGATGATGGACAAGGGATATGATGGATCATGTCTCATAGGGAATAAGGAATATCCATCTTGGAAGTTATAAGTGGGTGGCCCCCATGATAAACCAAAGATCCAGCAAATTGGCACCTGCCCTCAATGCATGCGGATCCAATTTCCAAAACTTGACAAAGAATAATAAAAAGTTAAAAACAACATTATCAACATCAAGGGTAATGTTCTAACTTACAAAAGATTTATGGTAATGTTCTAACTTACAAAAGATTTATGTTCACCAAAGAAACACCAGGGGAGTTTGCTCAGCACCTGCTTTCAAGTGCCATCAGTGAACTCGGTCATACATCTGGTTGGAAGCTTGTTACAACACATGTTGATATGTACCACAGATATGTACCACAACCTGGTTACAAGACATGTTGATGTGTACCACAAATTCACTTGATATGACTGGGAATCATATTGGATATATCATGGAATACATGTGTAGAATGTACCCCAGACCTATGCTGAAACCAAGTTCAACTTGACAGCATACAGTTCTTTATCCCAAGCTTTGACCAAGCTTGCAATTTCTTGACCGATATGATTTCCCACCTGGTTGTGAGGCACTATCTTGGTAAGATACTTTTTTTTTTTTTTTCAAGAGCCCACTAGTTACGAGAAAGCTTGTGAGTTAAACCAGCCCTTGCCAATGCCTATATCATGTGATTGTCATGTACACACAACCTTCATAGTTAGTGGCTACCAGACCTCCTAACCTTTTGGTAATGTCTATATACTAAAGAGTATGATAATTGAAAGCCAAATGCTGAACTCATTCCATTGGATTGAATTGTGGACCAAATGTAGCAGTTGGCCTATTGGCCAAACCGATCCAACAGGTGCTGAACTTTCCAGCTTACATGACTATATCATGCAATGCCCTGCAGCAAATGTGAGTGAGTTAAAATAAGCACCAAAGGCTGTGTTTTGTGAGTTGTTGTAAAGGGTGTTTCTGAAAAACTTTCCAAATTCTAGATAAGAGAAAGGTAACAAATACAACCATCCTATCCTTATTCCAACCCCCACATCCTTCACAACCTCAAATCAATCCACTTATTTTTCTATCCAACATGTCAAACACACTATGCCTGGGTCAATTTGTCACACATATACATTCTCCTACCTCAGGTTCCCTCCCTGATCACCCAAAACAGGCCTTCCTACAACAGGGAACAGATTGAGTGCATGTGTGGTGTTACCCAAGATGATTGGTTGGAGATCTCAGTCAAGTTCAAAGCAAGTTCCTTGGTCCATTGTTAGGTTGGGTGGGCAGCTGCTCAACACCAATAACAGAAGAAGGAATGATCTCTTCTGAAAAATCCCTGATAAAGATTCGAGCTTTCCTTGTTACCAAAACCTGTAATGATCCTCAACTGAGGGGTTGCATATTTGGTCTTGACTCAAACAAGGCCACTATTTCATCAGCTTTCTCTCAGGCACAAATCAATCTCTCTCCCATCTGGAACTACAATCCCAGCCTCTTTTTCAATATCCCCCAAACATCATTTACATCAACCCTCACCAGCACACCAGAAGAGGATGATTATTTTTGGTCTACTCTCAAAAAATGTGTAACCACCTTGAAAGAACACCAATACACAGCTCTAAATTTCCTCAAGAGAAACCAGTCTACCCAACAAAACACAATTGAAGACTTGTGGAACCACCCCATCAATAGTTGGATACGACGATGTAGTAACCCTTCTGAACTACAACTTGACAAAACAGACCAATTTACTAGCCAAGGATCCATACTTGCTGATGACATGGGCTTAGGAAAAACGTTAACCAGCCTTGCGTTAGTTCTGGCAACATCTCATTTGGCAAAACAATTCCAGATGAGCGGTTCCTACAACCATCTAGTTTGATCTTCAGCCACTCTGATTATTTGTCCGTTAGCAACCTTGTCAAACTGGGAAAATGAGATCAAGATTCACTTTGATGGGGGAGCCTTGCCTTACTGTATTCTTCATGGAAGAGACCAAGGAAGAATTGACAGAGGATTGCTATTGTCATTGCTTGTTGTTTTGACAACCTACGAGATGGTTGGAACATCTGGAAACCCACTTCATACCAATCAAATAACCATTGAATCCCTGGATATCTGTTGGTTCAGAATTGTATTGGACGAGGCTCGATTTGTAACCCAACAGCCAACAGGACTTTGAAAATTCAAAAGCTGAAGTCAAGATTTATCTTATGCCTGACGGGAACCCCATTCCAGAATCAACTCACCAATGTCCAAAGCTTGATATTTCTATTGAAGATTTGGCCTTGGAACCAGGAGTGGATCTGGAAGGCACACCTTATACCGGGAATTAACGTTGGATCCCAAGAAGCCATTCAGACGTTGAACTGCTTAATAGAAACTGTATGCTTGAGGAGGACAAAGGATGTGCTCTTGAATTTGCCTTCCAAGATAGAAAACGTGGTTGTTGTGAGCTTGGGTGGCCCATGGGATGATTTCTCAAGAGGGTTTCACCAATCATTCATTCAGTACTTTGGACGGCTTCGATCATCCGGCAAGCCATGGGATTTGACTGAATTTTTCAAACAGCTGACAATGATATGGCAGTTCTGCAATCATCCGATTTTTGCACGTGACAAAATTCCTCACCAAAAGAATTGGCAATGGCAAGACTCCGCAAAACTGGTCCATCTTGTGGATAACCTGGAGCGATTCTTGCGGGGTGGAAGGGGGATTTTAAGGCCCAAAGAAGTAGTATTCTTGAGCTTTGTGGCTTTTCTTGAGATGTGAGTGATATTCTTCATTGGATATTTTTTCAAAGAGGCTAAATAAAGACTGATGAGGTATGGCATGATGAAGAATTGAAAAGGCACTCAAAGAGAAACAAATGGGTTGCACATGGCTTATGACCTTGGGTATAGCAAAACAAGATGAGAACCTGGCTAGATTTCAAACAGATCCCAACTGCAACATTCTTCTAGGCTCAATACAAGAGGCGGGGGTAGGAATTGATTTGAGGTGTGCACAAAATGTGTACATGATGGTAAGGAGGAATCATTTCTTCTGTGTAACTAAATATGCTGATAAGAATTTTGATGTTCAAGGAACCAAATTGGAATCCGGCCATGGAAAATCAAGCTGTAGATCGTCTCTATTGCCTTGGACAGACAAATGAGGTTCATGTCTACCGATACTATGTGCAAGGCAGTCTGGAAATGAATATAAATCAGGTAAAAAGTAGGAAAGGGGAATTGGCAATGTAAGAATTCAATGGTCTCTCTGTATCCATACATGGAGTAGTTGACGTGTTCTTTGGGACATACTTGATTTTGAATTTCAGGCTGAGTGTACCATCACATGGAAATGAGGATTATGAGTGTGCACAGCTTCTTATGAGTAACATGTTAAATTAGGGTGCAATAAGAAGATGATTTACTTACACGAAACTTTGGTCAAGGACAATAACTTCTGAAAATGTATTAGTGGCTTGGGATTTAGAAGTTTGACATCAAGCTCAGACAAGGTGGCTAGGTATTCTTATGCATAGCAGTTTCTTGGTAGATTGCGTGGAACATTGCGGAAAGATATTGCGACCAAGGATGTTGAGGTAGCTCGCTTATGTTCAAGACTAAATGAATTGACAAAGTGTAGTCCTTTAGTATTGTCGGTTTTGTGGATCTTGATCTCGTCCAGTTGGCGGGCCAGGGTGTTGAACTCTTCTGAACACCAAGGGAGGGGAATTTGCTTGACTGTTTTGCCTGGGGTGGCTTCGGTCTCGGAGCAACACTTGATGTTATCAAAGAGTTCCATCTTGGTTAGGGATACAGACAGTTTTGAGAGGGTCTCCTGTCTATGCTTCTGCAGCTGAAAATTAGGATGATGTTTTTCTTCAGTAATAGCCCAGATGAAGTTGACTTTTGAGAAAATTCTTACTTGTAATTGTAATTTGGATTTATTTTCAGACTTCTTCTTTTCATTCCTACGTTCAGCAGAGAAATGTCCCAACCAAAGACCATCCTTACGCCCCAGAAACCATCGGTGTAGAATACCAGTGCGTATGATCTCTTCAGAAGTTTCTATAGGATCAAGGTGGAAAGCTTTGAATGCCCCAGCCTTGAAAGCGTGATTCCAGTGTTTGAGGACAAATTTCGAGAGCAGTCGATTTCACTTGCTTTCCCAGGCTTGGTCCCAGGAAAAGGTCCAACCAGGGAACTTTGAATTTTTGAGGTCTTGAAGAAATATTACTCGATAGAGTGGATGAATTTTTTCCAAAACTGGTTTATGGCCTGTGGGGGGGGGGGGGGGGGGGATGGGATCGATTGGATGCAGTAGAATGGAGTCAGGCAGTGAGGAGGCGATATTCAGCTGGTCTTGTGAGGGAGTCTCCTTCCATTTGTCCAATGGTATTTTGAGAT